TTTTCAGGGCTTCTCATGATGGCCATCAAACGAAAGGCCTCATTGGAGGGGGTTAATACCCCCAAACGACACCAGAAGCAGAATGTCCTCGACAATTCCGGTACGTTTACATCCTTAGATAATATTTGATAAGTGATCTAATTGCTGACGATTCTACAGACATGATCTATGAGGAAACCCACTCCGATGCTGAGTACTCAGCCCCTGGTACTCCAAGCTTAATGAGCGAAGGCATGGACGAATCTCCGGCGACCCCATTCTCGGCCACCTCTTCCCGCCGTGACCGATTCCCATCCGAGTTCAAAACCCTATGTTGCCCATTTGAAGGGTGCGACAAGGCCTTCAATCGTCCGGCTCGACTCCAGGAGCATATCCGATCACACAACAACGAAAGAATCTTTAAGTGTGAGGCCGAGGGCTGCGACAAGACATTCTTACGCACTTCTCATCTTCAACATCATGTCAAGAGTGCACATACAGGTATCCGAGACTACGTTTGCGACTACCCGGGCTGTGGGAAGAGCTTTGTGAACGGGTCACGTCTTCGCCGGCACGTGGCCACACATGATGGACATGAAACGTACCGCTGTACCGAGTACCCACCTTGCCTCGAGTCATTCCGGAAGCACTCGACGCTACAGAAACATATCACGTCTGTTCACTTGGACCAGAAGCCATTTCCATGTACTTTTGTGGACCCAATCACCAAGGAGAAATGCGAGATGGCTTTTGACAAGGCTGGTAATCTACGGACCCACCAGAGCAGGGTCCATTCTGAGAAGCGATTCACTTGCGCAGAATGTGTCGAACAGATGGAAGCCCAATCATCAGAAATGGCCGACGATGGTACACGACAGGATGTATCATTCCCCACGTATGCCAGTCTACAAAACCACATTCGAATTGTTCACCCTCCCTCATGTCCCGAGTGTCCATTGGTCTGTTCCACAGCACGGGGGCTGCGAAACCACCTCGAGATAGCCCATGGCAACGTCAGTCTCGAAGAGCGAAAGATCTTCCACTGCACCGTCCCCGGATGCGGGCGCAGCTTCACCAAGCAAGGCAACCTGACCGTCCACGTTCGCACAGTACACGAAGGCGAAAAACGATTCGTCTGCGGCGAAACAGATCTCTCAAAATCCACCAAGCTGGATGGATGGGACGGCGTCGGTTGCGGCAAGCGCTACGGCAACAAGCTGACCCTCGAAGACCACATCCGCGTTGCACACCTGGGCCTCCCGAATGCCAGGAAACGACGCCAAGCCAAGGTGAGCAAAAAGTCGACACAGAATTCCGTTTCCACCCTTTCCGCTCTCACGGGCCAAGGCTACGCCGAGGAAACAGGACGACAGATTGCTTGCTTTTACCCCGAGACGTGCCCACATCGTTTCCATCGCAACTACGATCTGTGGGTACACATGACTACCAAACACAGCTGTAACGAAGACGAGGTCCAGAACCTCTTTATGCAGCGCGCATTGCTTACCGATGAATCCAGCCCTGGAGTCAACTCACTGGGTATCTATGGTCTTGGATATGATCAGGATGGCCCGTCGTACTATCAACAATCCTATGCGGGAGGAGACCACTCCTCGGATATTGCTTTCGGCTCACAGTCCAATGATTCGACCTATCTCCCTAGTCAGCCGGGCTTGGATTCTGATTATTTGATGCAAGACGATCTTCCAATGAGCGCAGCGGCTCTTTAATGCTGGATTTGATTCTATGATACCCAGCCGTAATCATACGGCACTGGTTGACCCTGTCAATGTTTGTCATGCGATTCAACCATGATGGAGGGTATTTCTACGATGTTATGATTATCTAGCGTTCTTGATGCGTTTGTATCCATGGACTTTTCTTCAAAGAAAGTTCCCATTCCTTGACAGCGTGTTGACTTGATGTATGTTTGACTTGACAAATTCAATTTTCGAAAGACTTACTCTATGACCCTATGTCGTAGGATAAACTCCAAAAGATAGAGGGGGGGGAAGGTCCCAAACTTCAATAGTGATCATATTTTAGACATCATAATATTAAATATATCGACGGGATGCTCTCGTTTTATTGTGAACAGCTTATTCCTATCTTGATATCACCCCCTAGAATAACCTGGTTGTCATTCCGTATCGAGCAACTTGCTATGGTGCAGTGAAAAATATGACAAAAGAGTAACATTAAATGTTGTTTAAAATATACAGACATGATTCACGCAAGAAACGCCAATTTCCCTAATAAAAAATGACAGTCGAATGACTGTTGAATAATATAAATATTACCCTGTATAGAATATACATCTTAGTAGGTATCAACTTATATATATAGAATATTTCTAACTACTTGATCTATATAGTTATAAAGCTTAGTTTTTATACTAAGATATCTAAGATATACTTTAATTTACTAGAATTTTTGAATATTTCATATTCCTTATTATAATAATATAGTATAATTCTATATATGAACTAGAATATATGTAAAAGATAGTTATTATTTAGATGATTTAGCTACTTTATAAATATTAAGACTATACTTTTGTATACGGTTCTATTGATACAAGCGGCGTCAAAGTACGGGTAGCGTGCTCTAGAGATACGGGATGAAACATCACCCTTTGATGTTCTATTATAAACGCGTCGATTGAATGACATTTGGGCCTACAGAAAGCTTTTGACGGAAATTGCATCAAAAGCCGAGAACAGCCCCTTCATAGGAACTCTAAAGTGGGTTGTGGATCATTTAACTAAAGAAAATGTTCACAGCCGGTGGACTCTATCTGAGGGAATCTCTCAGCTGAAACTTTGTTAGTGCATTAACCACAGAGTAGTTTGAACATGTCTGGTGTATTTGGAATGTCTGCATGATAATAAAAGATAGGTGTTTGCGTGAAGGAGCATGCCCCTGACCACCAAGTTGATAAGCTCGTATACCATCTTCATGCATAATCCCATTCTATATTATCTTTGTCAAAATCACCGTTGGTCCTGGAACCTGCACATTTGATTGGCCCTTACTTACGCAATCAAGCTAACTGCATAATAAAACAAATTTCTCACCTGGCCCCTCTCGTGTTAAGTTGGATTTCTTTTTATATCCGCTGATTCCACACTAAGCTAAGTCGCTGGTTGAAGCATCTTCGAGGCTCCTAGGCGTACACGCTTTCTTTCCCCGCTTTGCGGGACTGTATACTGTTCTCAGCGTTTTGTCGTAATGATCACAGTTATGAACCCTGACTAGGTATTGACACATTTGGAAACAGTTACTCTTTTGTAGAACGAAAGGTTAGAGATATTTGTAAACGAGAATGCGTGAATTCTCAGTGCTGCTAATTTGAATGAAATCAAGTAGTTTTAGTTTTGCGCGAAGCAATCTACATCAAATAATTGAAAAGGATTCAACGCTCTGCAATAGTTGATGAAAGCGCACGCGCAGTACTCCGTAGGTTGGCGGATACTAAACCCTCCCCCTCTTTTCACCCCTCTTCATGCAGACTTATCACATCTTACCACATCAGCTTGCATATCAGGCTGCCTTTTAGCAATCGGGGGCCTGTGGCCCCCGGTTTGCTTTTTGCACATTTTTGTCTCTCTTCTTGTCAACATCACTATCCAGGATGGGAGTGCAGATTCATCAGAAAAAGACCTATGTTATCTATAGAGGTCGTGTAGACAAGCCAACTATCTATTCTTCTTGGTAATTTGGTGCACCACGCTTTCGGCATATAGATCATTAATGTTGTTTTCGTTAGGGGCCACGCACATCCTAAAGTTACAGAGTTTCATGGTGCAGACTATCAAGAATTTGACCAACTCGAAGATGCACAGAATTCATTGAAAAAAAAAGGATTTGAGGATTATGAGAAGTTTCTCAAACCTGAGAGAAACGCATCTAGTTCGCAGCCTCGCGGTAAATATTATGCTGTTGCGTATGGCAACATGACTGGCGTATTTAGGGACTGGAAGTAAGAGATTTTTACATTTAGTCGAGGATATGGCTAACTCTATATAGAACAGCAGAAAAGTCAATTAAAGGGTTTAAATCAGCATGTCACCAGCGTTTCGATACCGAATGTGAGGCCAGAGAGTTCATTAAAGATTGGAACGACTCGTTTGCCGAGATATGGTGCTGGGCAATTAAGAAAGGGCTTTGCGATGGATGGAAGCCAAAGGGCCTAAGCTTGGATCTAGCATCCTTGTTGGTGAAGACGGAACCAGCAATGGACCCAGACGAGAACTTGCTATCAAAACTGGAGCAGTGGAACGTGAAGGAGAATGCTCAAGATTGAATCACTCGTATGTGGTGCTCCGAGAAGAAAATTGAAGCCCTAAAAGGGCTTCACTCGTCCTAGCTCCCTCGCCTGCGAGGGTACAGCTTTTTAGCCAAATTTCAGGATTCTAAGATCACGCTTTCATGCTCCCGTACTCGCCAATCAGGCAGATTGATAGGATATAGAGGAAGACATACATCCGTAAGCGAATATCAATAGCCAATTTGACCAATGTAACTGTACGGACCAGAGGGGATTTCTTATAGGTTTGACACAGTCTTGAAACACAGCCTGCGTCTCTCGTTCTTTCTTCCCATTATTCATCACACCTGTTCGTAGCGAGGTTTCTTCGTTCTTCAAATGAATGTGGAGTTCTAGGAAAAGAACTGCATCGATCGCAAAATTCTTCCTCAAATTATGGGGAATACTTGCGGGTTACATCAAGCGTGACCTAGATATGAGCTCCTTTACTTAGTGATGAATTTAGGCTGTGGGGTAAGCACTTTGTGTCATTTTTCCGTAATTTAATTGTGTCTTCTAGCATCGAAATTGCGACCAGTTTTATATGTCGATTATTTGACAGTTGATCAACGGTAATGCAGACCTAAATAGTAATTGCTATCAAATTCACCGTATCCGAGCTATATTTGCGAAACGCACAATGAAATATAATGCTATAGAGCCATTCAAAAAGGAGAGAGAAAGAAGCAGAACAACATATGTAAAACGGAAGCTACAAGAGCGTACTGTTCCCCAATTGCAGCCAAAGCGCCTTTGAGGCAGAATGTTTTGCTGCTTTCTTGGAACTTGCTTCCGCAGAAGATCTGACTCCTTTATACTGGGCAACAGCTTTCCACCTTGGAGGGCTATGGCATAGTTGATTCGAATCGTAAGTTGGTACGCAGTACTCGGAATCACCCAACTCTTTCAACGCACTTGTATAGACGTGTTCCTCATCAGTCTGCTCTGTATCCCCTCGGAGAACGCTTGGCGGTTGGTACTCTGGTAGGGTTGAAGTAGATTGATACGAAGACAGTCCGAGGCTCACTGCAGCTTCGACATGTTCCTCACCAGTCTGCTCCGTATCCCCTTGGAGAACGCTTGGCGGTTGGTACTCTGATAGGGCTGAAGTAGATTGAGACGAAGGCAGTCCGAGGCCCACTGCAGCTTCGACATGTTCCTTATCAGTCTGCTCCGTATTTCCTTGGAGAACGCTTGGCGGTTGGTACTCTGGTAGGGCTGAAGTAGATTGAGACGAAGATGGTCCAATGCCCACTGCAGCTTCGACGTGTTCTCCTCGGGGAGCAAAGACCGGATCATATCGACAAAATTGTGTCAAAGTAGCCACAATTTGTTGAAGATTCATATTTCTAACAACTAGACCTAAAGCTTTGAATAGCGAGGCTCTCTTCGCTTGATCAAGTGCACATTTCAGATGCGGATCGGTTTTGATCATTTGATTGATAGCGCCAATGTCGTCGAAGTCATTATATAACAATCGATTCATTTCCTAAAAGAAACTTAGTATCTTACCAAAACCCAAGAAGCAATGGCTACTGACCGGTAATCCAGGTGATAATCCCGCTGTGGGTTGACTTTCGATGAATTTCCCTTGGATAAAATAATACCAAATTTGCAAACCAAGCCATTCTTCTGATGTATAGCGTCAGCAATATGACCATCTCAGCTTAGTTTTGATTTTCACCTTGATCATAGGAGCAATGTACACCATCCATTTCGAAGATTTCTATCTTTTTGATCGCTTCAAGTTCATACACTGAGGTGTTTTCAGCAGTTCTGCTGGTCATTTCCATCTGAGAAGCGTTGATTGCCGGTTCAGATGAATCTTGATGGTCTTGGCTACGGCCAGCTCGTGTGAAACTTCTCAGTTTGTGGATGTGACCACGGATTCCAATCATGATTTGAAAATGGCGCAAAGCAAAATTCCCATGAATGCTTCATACTTATAGAGAAGAAAATTGAAAGAAAAAGGATAAAAATATTCCTCTGTACTCCGCCTCTTGAAATTTGAGGCTGAATGACAACGAGGCTCTACTTGCATTAGTGTAGCTGCCTCGAGCATAGCGTCTGCAAATCTACCTGACCGTCGCAGTTAGCTGATAATGAGGATATTCTTAGAAGGCTCGTATCGACTGTATAAGGAAGTTCCGCCTTGGGCACAAAGGGGAGGGAGGCCTGAGCGCCGTGCAGCTGGTTACACTGCATACTGTCGGAGGACAACGCAGCCGCTGATGACGTGTCTTTTGGGGGTGGAAGATAATATTAGATTATAAGCGTAATATAAAAGCGAGTGGTCAAGCATGCTATGTTGGCTTAAGGGCAGAGTATACAGCAACGGCAGGTCGTTTCAATATGTCCAAGGACCCTGATCAAAATGGTGAGTTTCTATTCTGGTGTTGCCCAAAGTAATTGGCATATAGCTAAAATTATTCAGTTGATTATCTCGGTCTTCAATGGGCTAAATTGGAGATTGGTTTATGGTTATATTATCATCTGCCACGGCAGAATGATGCCATCATAAAGGTGAGCTCTATAATGAATCCAGTGATCAGATTTTAATTCCAAGACAGGAGATCTGTGAACATCTCATTATGAGAGAGCTTCCATATGACGAGCTTTTTCTAGAGATCAAGTTGAGCCTACCTGATGATGAATCATCGGATTCAGCGGCGTCTCCGTTCTTCAACAAAATCGGAAGACTCGTTGTCCAGGATTTCCTAAGGACCCCCCCATATACGGATTCTATTCGGATCATTCTCTGTGGCTATCTGAACAAAAATCGAGAGAAAATCGAGAAGTACGCCAAGTCTTTGAAGGGCTGCCCAGATACAGCAAATGAAAATCCATCGCCTTTAGACTGTCAGAATCATAGATCAAAACAAAACAAAGGAGCACTGCGCATCAAAGCTGAACATCAACAGCCAAGCGATGCCCGGATGAACATAGAGCAGAGTGATGATGATCATGTTTATACAACTGCGTTGAAAGAGTTGGGTGATTCCGAGTACTGCGTACCAACTTACGATTCGAATCAACTATGCCATAGCCCTCCAAGGTGGAAAGCTGTTGCCCAGTATAAAGGAGTCAGATCTTCTGCGGAAGCAAGTTCCAAGAAAGCAGCAAAACATTCTGCCTCAAAGGGACTTTGGTTACAAATAAGGGGAAAGTTGATAACATAGCACGGAGTGCCTCGACGACAGCAATCAAAGTTGGGGTTTCAAGGCATATCATGATTCGCAATATATGGCGCGTGGTTGTTTCACTCTGTTTGTATTTAATATATGGCTATCGCTGGAGGGCTGCTTGAGATACCGAACCACCAAAGTGGAATATTTTGCAGTGGTGGAAATTGCTCATCACTTTTCAAATATCGCAAAGTTCTAATATTTGGCTTAAATGCCAATCAATCAAAGAATTCCAGAGCAGTACTAACGCTGCGTAATCTCAAATTCGATAGTTGACTTATGTTGTCAGTCCTACCAGATTTTGACCGACGGGTTTGTAGAATCACTTGGGCGGGATCATAGTGAGAACAACATGGAACATGAGGAACAAAATAGATAAGCAAATAATGTATGCTATCTGTTCGCCACTTCTTCAACATTCGCTAGTAGTGATACAGTGATACTTGTGGTTAAACTCCGGAGACGATCGCCGTGATTATCTAACGCTTTATGCTCTGCTGCTATAAGCAAAGTTCTGTGAGCTCCTCAAGAATCCTTCTTTTACCTGCGCGGATCTGGCCCGGAGTATAGGGCGAATCAAAGTCTGCCTTGAAAACTCGAAATTTATCTCCGTCCAAGAACGAGGTTCAAACTTAAAACGAAGGGATCCTGAATTTCTACAGTACACCTGTATAGAAAAAGAGAGCTATACCCAAAGTGGAATATAAGTGGGCTCTTGAATTTTGCGGGGGCCAATGAAATGCATTTTGGGACTCTAGCTTGCATCGGGCTGTCTCGTCCAGGTTTCTTTAAGATATTTTCTTCCTTTGGACATTTTGATACTCCGTTTAGATATCATACAATGGATTCGTACACGGTATGATGATATGAATATGAACATGAAGAATTTAAGTGCGTCGACCAAATGGCAGCGCGCGTCGGCCATTATCAAACAACCAGCACCTAAAAGCGTGGTGCGTAGTTCATTCGTCCTTTCCACCCACATTTTCTCATCTTTCTTTCTTCATCCTCCCGTCATGATCTTCTCATCTTTCAATGAGACCATTTCACCATTTCAACTTTATGCCTCACCAATCACCACATAACACCTCAATAGTTCTTTCCATTTTCGGATTTCAATTTGCCCACTGCCTTCGTGGGGTCTCCCCAGAATAAAGAGCAAGTGAGAGGCGGACAAGCACGCAGTATTTATTCTCTCCCTCACCTGAGCTAGAACGCCATGGTAGAATCGAGAGACATGAGACGATACTATTGGGATCTGAGATCCTTCATTGTCTAGCCCTTCTTGTCTTCTCATTTCCCTCTGATTGCCTGCTTACTTGATGGTAGCCATTGACCTGTGTCTCAACTGCCATTGACTTCCGACGCACATATTTCCCTCTGCATGTTCAATCGCTACAATTCATCTGTTCTAACTTTCGAATAACTTTCTAGAAGTACCCTACCCGAGAGCAAAAGCATTGAGACCTTTACACCCCCTCTAGCGAGCTTTGATCAAGATGCGCAGAAATACAGTTCCACAAGATGAAGTCCAAGCTAAAGATGATGGAAACCTACCACATCTTCTCGCTGAATTGGATCTTCATGAGAACTATGAACCGGTATCGCCCCCTTCAATCATCTACAGATCCCCTAAACTTCCATCCAATGATCAGATGTCACGGCTCCTACATTGGAGAGCCGAGCAGGGTGGCATACTCAATACTTTGCGGGAAGAAGTCTCATGTTTCGTCATCGGCTTCAACCTAAACGATTTATCACATATGATATCTTTCTGTCTTCCCGGTTGGAAAACAAACACTCTCCCTGGGTCGTTTGCCCATCTTCTTTACTCCCTGTTTGGCCCATTCGAAGAAGTGGCCAAGCTTCAGCAATCCATGAACAACATCCCAGAATATTTCAACGAATACAGACACCGAGCAATGTTTGCAAACAGGATTCGGAACATCAATCGCGAGCCAAAGGATTTCAAGTGTGGTGCTACCTTCGCGCCTCAGCTCCCGCCTTCCTGGAACGGCGAATGGTGCAGGGAGGACGACGAATATTTATTCTCTCGCGAGCTGCGAATGCTCAGGGACTTGATGGGGCCTCTTCGTGATACATTCAAGCCAATCTACTGGATCACCGACCGAGTCGAGAGTGCTCTGGAAATGGACAATGGCTTCCAAGCCTCGAAGGAACTGATTGTAGATTTCAGGAAGGATCTCTATGAAACATCCTGGAATCGCCGCAAAAACTGTTCGCCAATACCCCGTGTACTTTCTGTAGATGAACTGACTTGCTAAACATCTCTAGACACAATCTATGACCCCCGTCCCGTCTGGGATCAACAGCAGAAGGAAACAAAGCATCTCAGAGAATACCGCCTACAAGCCTGCAAAGGAACAATGTACTGGGATCGCTGGCCTCCCGTCGAAGAGCAGTATGACAAGGAAGCCCTGGCCGCAAAGGAATTTATCATTGACAACGATCAACAAGCCGCTCAAGACCTTGGATTCTTACCACCAGAGAACCCTCAACCACCACAAGTCCTGGTCTCAACCAAACCGGGTATCGAGCTCGCATACATCACCGACCTCGAGCATTACGACGACCAAATCATGGTCATCCTAGTGCGCATCAGCCAATGGCTCGCTCTTGCCCGCGGTTTCCCAGCAGTCCATCTATTCTGCGACATCGTCCGGCTCTTCACCATCTACGGCGTAGACGTGGCAAATGCCGTGCAAGTGGAGTTCTGCAAACATTTAACTGGCTTGCCGTCATTCCCCTGGGACCCTGTCGAGTTGCCGCCACTGTTTCCCTTCCTTGAAAGCGAGCTTCAGACACACGAGCTCTGCCCTGAAGAAATCCAGAGGCAGCGTGCGCGGAACTACTGGGCCGAGCAGCGGTTGATGATCTGTCGCTCGCTTTGGTGTCGGGATGATAACGCTATTGCCTGGGACTACCCCCTGCAGACCCTTGTCTGGGAGGAGAGGGAGGAAGGTCGGGTCCTTGCACTTAGGTCTCCGCCTTTCCAGGATCATGCTAGACACATCCCATGGGGTTTGGTTGATATGATGAAGGAGGGGTTGTGGATTGGGGAGTATGAGGATGATTGGCTGGCACAATTCGTCGGGTTCAACAGTGAGTAATCTGATGGTTGTTCTGGCAGTTTCTGCGGTGGAGCATGAGACAATGAGAAGGATGGACGGGAGATACTGAGGAGGGAGAAAGGATGCTGAATACAGATGGATGGAAATGGAAGACAGAACCTATTCATACACAGTTACATCAAGGGCTAGAAAAAAACCTGACTTACCTGGGATACACACGGATTTCACAACATGTAGTCCCTGATCATTCATAGAAAAGTCTCTTGCACAAAGTATGCTTTTTTTTCTTGTGCATATTCGTTTTGATCGCCAAGGCATACCTAAGTGGGAGAATTTAATTATATAGTGAGATTAGTGGCTATTGTATGCACAGGACTGTCAAGAAATTGCAGTAATAGTTTATATTGCATAAACATATAATTGATATCCTGTACTACCCCATTTCAAGTGCCTACCAACACTCGAAGCACCACCAGTGATGATGACAGTGCGCGGTGAGCCTGACTTGCCCAGAACTTTGGTAGGCGCCGGGATCATAGGGCGCATCGCTGACTTTTAGTGGTAGGATCTTTCTTTGCAGGGATCCATGCTGCCTGGTTGGTGCTGTTTCTGGGAAGGAACGAGGCGGATGTGCAAAATGAAGTAAAGCAGCACCAATTAGATGGGATGATTTGTATAGGAAACCGAAGCAAAAACGAAATCCACGAAATACTCGAGCGGTATTGTTCTATGTTTATCCCCAGGGTCGAGAACAATCTAGTCCACTTGAAAGCTCTGCTTACTTTGCATTGGCGACATACGATGACTATACGTCTGCCCAGACATGACATCATCTGATCGTATCATCGAGTTAGGCGTACCTAGGTAGTTCCTTCCAGTCTGAGAGTCCCTCCCAGGCATAGAGGGAGGTGGACCTTTTGATATGGGATTTCTGGAAAGATGTATAGATTGACCAATAAGCTTGTAGTGTATTTATAGAGAGCCTCGTATTTATCTACTTAGTTACTTAAGTACGGATACGTAGGCAGATCTGATATTCATGGATGTGACAAAAAAGGAAACGTTGCAATAACTTTATTTCCCCAACAGGCCCATGAACCACAGCCACGTAGTGGCACATAGTGGCACGTAGTGGAGAAAAAATGTTGGAAACAAGCTGAACAAAAGAATCGGCCCTCTAAATCCCTGCCACATGGATGATCTACATTTTTTTTAAAAAAAAGTACTATGACGCGTTTGGTCAGATCTCCATGGGGCCACGCTGATCCTAAGCTGCAGGCCCGAAAATCATGGATCCATTTAATCTATGCCAAGACTGCAATCGGCTAGATAATAGGGCATTTGTACGGAGTTACGGAGGATGACTCCGTATTTCGTACTCGGTACTTCCATGTTCCGTACCAAGATGTTCATCTCCACTATGTTACCCACTATATGTGCCAATTAACCTAATAAATTGCGTTCCAAGTTTTATCTGTTTATGTTGTATCTGAGAGATTGTGGCTGGATTGCCCTAATGCAGGAGTGAAAAGGTCCGTGTGTGAAAGCTCATGAACTGTATGTTGGACCCGGGACCCGGTGGGGTAAACATAAACAGGGAACAGGATTGGTACCTAAATTGTGTGTGTAGTAGGTTAATCCGTACTCCGTAGAATAGATTTTATTGAAGGTGTGGAGGGTCCTCCAGCGGTACCCGCGTGTTCAAGCGGACCACACGTGCAAATTATATGTGGGCCTGTATGAAGGCAAGAAGGGCAAGAAAGGCAATGTGTCAGAGTTAAAAGTGGCAATGGAATCTGCAGAATTTGCCAAGCCCAAGTTTACTTTCGCCTGTCTTTAGATTCAGTGGCGGGAATTATGAGCCTTGGCCACGGGGGTTCTTAGAGAATTTAAGGGGGGAAGTATTTTGGAAAAGGAGATGTTGACGGAGTAGTCCCTCCGGTGTGTATGTTGTAGCTCAGGGGAATCATAATATAGTTACCTTAGTTATACTTTGTTTTCGAACATAAGACATCTATATTTATCTATGCATACTACTAGTCTACTTATAGCCCAGTTGTCTCTCCAAGAATCCAAGAGGGTCCGAGATGATGCCAATTAAAAACCTTCAGTCTCAGGGAAAGAAAAAAAAAAGCAGAAATTGGCTTGGCTTGGTGACACGAGAGAATATAATAAGTAATAAGTATTAAGTAAGAAGCAATAAGCACAGAATACTCCGTACTAAAATACAGAGTAATAAGTATATTATTGGTGTATGGAGTAGCGTGGAATGTTTAGTCGCCTCTCGGGACTTGCCCAAATGACCGTTGACCGTTTGATCTTTAGATTCTCTCTCTCTTTCTATCTCTCCTCTTCAAACCTCCTATTCTTCCCATTTTATCCTCTCTTTCTCTCTCTCACTCTCTTTCTCTCTTTTGTCTCCGAAAAAAAAAACATAATAAAAAAACAAGGATCGTTAATCCCGGTGATTAGCCAAGACGTACCCAGCTTGTAACGTCATCTTCCTTGGCAGAGAAGCTCGATTTCCCTAAACTCCTAAACTCCGACTCAACCACTCGCTCTCATTCTTATTCTTCCAGGCCTTGTGTGGATTTCATGGATTGATCCTTCTCACCGAATTTGGTCCAGGCGCAGTCGCTATTTGACAGTCTTTCGTTCAGCGCAATTCGACCCGCCTCGGACAGTTTCCTTTTAAATCCCACCACGTTCCAGTCCCTCTCCCTACGCTCGAGACGTTTTACAGTCAAACTCAGTGAGGGGTAATACTCAAAATAAACCCACTGAGGTTCTTGTCTGGAATATCACGTTCCGGCGTCATGGGTCGTTCGCGTGGTAAGTCGATCCTCTCCGGGTAGGCCGGGAAGCGCACTAGAACCCGTTATTGACTCTCCCTTGCGTTTTACTAGTCCGCTCGTTTATATCCAGCTTTGGGGGGTCAAGGCACAATGGTTCTGCTAAAGAAAGCAAAAAGTTGTCGAGCGACGTTACGCCAGTGGCCAACGTAACTCCATCCGATACACCACCCCAGTGGCAAACCCCTCCCGACACACCATCTCCTCCGACCGAATCATCCCCTGTGAGCTCTGGACCAAGAGGTGGGGATAGCTCGCGACCGGCATCCATGATCTTCTCACGAAATCCACCTCTCATGCAACAGGCGGGTGATACCCCGCCGGAGCTGTCGCCAATCTTTTCATTCCTCAATATCCACACGAACAAGGTCTACCAGGAAGGATACTTTTTAAAATTGAACGACCTGGATTCTCGTAAGTGATCTCTACCCCTGGCGCCTTGCTCGGAAAGGCGGGCTAACACGTGGCAGACGGACGGCCTTCTGGTGATCGGCAATGGGTGGAATGCTACGCACAGCTGGTTGGAACTGTTCTGTCATTATGGGATGGCGCTGCGCTGGACGCAGCAGGTGGAGAAGAGGTCCCGGCGACCTTTATCAATTTGGCCGATGCGTCTATTAAGATGGTAAGCCTTGACCCCCCGATATCTTTGAGCGTGAACTCACCAGTTACTCGCAGATTGAGACTCTTCCGATCCAAAATGGAGCTACACAACCATTGAAGAACGTACTCAGCCTTTCTTCGGCAGGCAAAAATCGATACCTTTTACATTTCAATTCTTTTAACTCGCTGACCCAATGGACTGCGGCGATTCGTCTCGCGATGTTCGAACACACATCTTTGTACGAAGCGTACACTGGTTCTTTGATTGCTGCGAGAGGAAGAACTCTTAACGGAATCAACTCTATCCTGGCACCCACCAAATTCAAGTACGAAGATTGGGCGCGTGTACGATTTGGAGCAGGAACCCCGTGGAGACGGTGCTGGTTTGTGATCTGCCCGCCAGATGAAAAGGAGCTCCAAAAAGCGCGGAAACTCATGAAGAAATCGGCGTATGACCGCTTGACAATGCCAGTTACCGGAAACATCAAGTTTTACGAGACGAGGAAGACGAAAAAGGCGATTCCCATTGCAACGGTTACCCAGGTTTACTCGGCATATGCAATTTATCCACAATCTAAAGCTCTAATTGATACATCCACCCTGGTGAAATTGGAAGGACGGATCACCACCCATTCACCTGATTCTTCCTCGGAGGGACTAGTTTTCATCATGCCGGAGTTGCATCCTGCGGTTTCTGGACTCGAGATGATGCTACGCTTCCTTTTCCCGACATTCGACACTTTCAATCTCTACGGCCGTCCTACTCGCCTGGTGGCAGACACTAATCACATTAAGAGCATCATGTTTGCCTTCCCTAAGGAGCGACGCTACGGTTATCTTGATGTGTTGGATATTGCCAACCTTCTCCAAACCCCAGGAAGCCAAGAATGGAGCGAGGCTCAATGGAGAAAACAGCTCAAAGAGGCAACACAGCTCCGAATCTCTTCTGGCAGGAGCAGAACCAATAGTGTCAACAGCACGAGACCTCGTTATCGATCGATGTCTGGCCGAAACAGTGATGTCCCTATGGACTCTACTCGCCGCCAGTTTGCTGGTCTCGAGAACAAGGCTGGATTCAACAATTCTACCGAGGCTATTATTCACGAAGTCCCCCAAAACGAGGGTTCGCCAGTCCTGTATCACAATCGCGTGATTTCTGATGCCGCAGGTTTCGATTCACCTGACTCGTCTTCTCAGGATCTGATGCACCGCCCAGCAGTCGCCCCTATTGCTGAGGGTACCAGCTCTGAAAGTGACCCGAATCTCGATCGTATCCAAGGCCCGCCAGTCGGAGAGCAGCTCCTTTCAAACACCCCACCGGCTCCTGTTGAAAACCCACCCGCATTTTCGCATGGACCCAAAGAAATTCCCACTAACAGACCAGAGGCTTCTTCAGAGCAGAGGTTGGCAAACAACCGGATGTCCCACGCAACACTTTCTCAGCTCACATCGGTCGGAACAATGGGGCTGAGCGCGGCAGCCGCCGGTGCTGCATGGAAAAGCCACCAGGCACAGACTACGAACAACCAACCGCCCCAGGACAGGAGACTCGACAATGTCTACACTCCTGGCCCCGTCATTTCTACCAACTCTCTTGCAACTAAATCAAGTGATGAGGGCTTAGGCCGTGCATTCCCAGTTCGACCTCCTCCAGCTCCAGAGCATCGCCCGAACACACCTAGTACTACCGGCAGCCCACAGCGGGTTTCTCCCCAGAAGTATTCCCCTCAACGGATGCAGATTGATGCCAACAAATCTGTGCGACGCAAGCCACTCCCCCAGCAAAACCTATTCGGGATAGAGCCACAGTCACCAAGCGAACCCACTTATGATGATCTTCGCCATACCCTTGATGAAGATGTGTTGAATAAAATTGCTCCTCATCTTCCATCCCCAATTTCATCTACTGGAAAAAGAAACGGGAATGAGGACGAGAGCGTTTATGATGATGCATCGACGGTTTCACCTGACTATGCTAGCACCCACGATTCTGTCCACAGCAAGAAATCCACCGCGTCCACCAAACCCAGAATGGGTGTCATGAAGACCGTGGGAGTACCAGCTGTGAAGGACTATGTCATTGGCGATGCTCATTATACTATGGATAAGCCTCCGACCTCGAATCCGGATATTCCCATTGTTGACTTCGGCCCAACCATGACGTATATGCCTACTACTGGGCGCCCAACCACCTCAGACACCCTGAGAAGACCAATGCATCAACGCAATGATTCGTCGGGAACCAAGTTTTCTGTTCCCACTCAAGCAATCGATCCAGCTAATGCCCGGCCTTCCAGCGGGGAGGAATATCGACGGAGCATGCTGTGGCAGCCTGGAATGGCTTCTGGTCGCCCTGTCACTCCAGGTGGAGGTCTCACCCCGGAGCAGTTCGTGCAGCAACGGGCGGCCCCCAGTCCCCCGGTGCATCTCCACAACCGCACACCGTCCAATCCCATGTCAGTGCACCGCCCGGCATCTGGCGACTGGACACAGCATGCCCGTCCTAATTCGCCTATGAACCCTCAGCGACCTTCGTCTCGTGGTGCCCAGGGTATGCTTAACTTCAGCGAGGCTTCACCCAATCTTTCTGCTCGCGAACAGGAGCACGTTGCCCGCATGACTGGTTCTACATTCTTCAATATGTCAAATGACAACCAGAAACCACAGGCGCCGGTAAACCCCATGGGCCTTGTCTCGCACATCGATGCTCGGGAGCGCGAGAAGCGTGAAATGAGGGAGGGAATGTCGAACCAGGCGGTTCAACAGGCCATTGCGCACCGTCAGCAACACATGATGCAGCAATCTATGATGAACCAGCAACAGTACGCACCTCACCAGTTCTCGACGCCGTTCTTGCCGGCGTTCGCACCTCAGCAGATGCAGCCCCAACAGGTTGGCTCTGTGTACCCGTCTCCACATGGTCATGTTCGCCACGAGTCCATGTACAACATGCCGGCTGCCAGCCACACATGGGATGCCCTAAACCAGACGGCCCGTGCCGACGAACCCCGACGGTCATCCTGGTACGGACAACTTGCGCAGGCTCCTCAAACACCACCTAGCTATCCACAAAGCCAGACGTACGGTCAAGAGCCGAGGTACTACACCCACGCTCAATGAACCTGTTCCTTCCCTGGGGTCTGACTTTGTCCCCCATCCATCGTTTTGTCACCACCTCAACTTTCCCTTCAGTCCTTTCAACTCCTCATTCCCTGCAAATCATTAGCAGTATCTTTTTTTTATGTTCAACTCACCATTCTTGCATACCCAACCTTTGCACCTGGCTTCCAAACTGTCCCTCTTGCACGCATTCCTTCTCCTTGCACTCTCCAACATCACTCATTATCATTTCTTTATCTCTCATCGCTTCATTGCTACATTCTTCTTTGCATCACGCATCCAGCCGGAGTTCCAGATGGGCGTGGTGGGATCGTCCCTGATTTTTTCATGCGAGTCGCTTGTTAACCTATCTTTATATCGGGATCCTTGCCTTACTCTCTTCTTTTTTATTGGCATGTTTGTTTCAACATGTAGATCAGACTCGTGGAAATATGCATCCTGTATGTACGCGGTATAGATTGACCATGGATATCCAACCAGGCGATTACTACTTGTCCTCTCCACTTTATTCTTTCGATTTTCGAGTACAGGATTTTGTAGTAGTAAACGTACATCGTAGACAGTTAGTTGCACTCAAAGGCTCAAAGGCTATTGTGTTGTTGGTACTTCAACGAAGTTGATTGCCTCGTTCTTGCCGACTAAAAGAACGGGTCCTACTAGCAAATGCCAAAGAGATATTAAGCGCAGATCATAGCATAATGCAAATCAATTTTACTTCTAAATTCAATCCTACGCTAGCATAAGAGATTTAAAACAATTACAATAACGAGCAGATTTTAGTCAAATAACAAATTTGCAATTTGATCAAATAAATAAATAAACCTCACCTGGAGGCAAATTATTATACAAGATAGGTTCAACAAGTCAACAAAAAAGCCGACAAAACCCTAATTAAAGAGTCAAAAGCTACACAATTCGACTCGAAATGTCAACGACATTTAGCAGCTAGCACCGCTGGGAATACCCTTGCACTTCTTGCTCTTCACACCACCGGAGAGGCTAACGCCGCCCCAAGACCAGTTGGAGCAAGCGCCGGAAGCACACAGGATGTAGACATCGGTAGCACTGCTGGAGACAGATCCGGTGACACCGCTGATGGTCAGACCAGTGATGGGGACGCCGCTGGTGGGGGTTCCGGTAGGGCTGCCGTTCTTGTAGTCCTGCTCGATGACGATTCCGTACTTGGTGATTCCAGAGAGGGTGATGTCCTTGTAGGTGACGCCCTTGACGGAGCCGGTAGCACCGTAGACGGTCTTGACGCGAACACCTGTAAGAAACTGGTGTTAGATTACTGATGATCTAATCGTGGACTGAAATGAAACTGGAGACACATGGGTTACGTACCGTTCTGGGAGTCCTTGATGGTGCAGTTCTCGATGGTGACACCGTTCACGACGTTGTCGGAGCGTCCGCCGACGGAGCCGATGGAGATACCGTGACCGCCGGTGCACTTAGCGCCGGTGAAGTGGACGTTCTGGAAAATACAGTCAGTTGATTGATCCCACAGAATAATGGTAGTTGGTTGTACATACGGTGCCGGAGTTGACGGCAAGACAGTCGTCCTGGTTGTGGACGGTAGGGTTGGTGATGTAGACACCGTTGCTGGAGCCAACGTCGAAAGCGTCGGTGTTGTGGCCGCCCTGGCTGTCTCCGTCGGCGTTGTCGACAGTGATTCCACTGAGGGTAAGCTCCTTGGCGCCGTTGACGCTGAAGACCTGAACGGGGGAGTTCTTGATGTAGATGTTCTCGATCTTGGAGTTGGTCAGGCTGTGGGCGTAGAAGAACTTGGGCTTGGTCTTGCCGCCGTTAGTTCCCTTGCCGTCCCACCAGCGGGCACCGTCTCCGTTGAGAACGGCTCCAGTGGCTCCCTGGACGGTGATGGATGTTCCGGAAACAGAGACCAGGGGTCCATCCCATTCCTTGTAGCCGAAGGTGGTGGTTCCCTCGAAGATAACCTGTACGAGGTGGTTAGTATAGAGATTGAGATTTGGAGATTGACGAATCTTACGTTGGTGCCGGACTTCAGTCCAGTCAGATCCAGGGTAGTTCCAGCTGGGACAGCGACGTTGCTCAGGGTAATGGTAGAGCAAGAAGCCTTGTTCTTGATGGCCTGGGCGGCACCGGTAGAGCCGGAGAAGGTGCAAGAAGCACGAGGGACAAGAGCGTTCGCCTCCGGGGCGACGGGAGCTGCGTTGACGGCAGCAGCACTGAGCAGGCCGAACAGGCCAAGTTTGATTGCGGAACCCATGATGAAGAAAGAAAGAATGAAAAAGTAAAGAATGTAAAGGTTAAAAAGAATGTGATGGTTTTTTGGAAATCTTCAAGCAAAGAGCAGACAAGGGTGCCTTATATATACTTCTACATGTTAATCTGAAACGTACTGGAATTAGAACCCGAGCCGAATTAAAATACGAACAACCTAGATTTTTCCCTTGAAATTGGTTGATCCCGATGAAAACAGGTACCCAATAATTTTCCTCCAATGTGATGCTTGCGTTTTGGGAGTTATTAGAGGCTCAGGGGCCCCATTTCAGTTTCGAACGGGCCATGGAAGCCCCGAGAAGAGAAGGGTGGAAAGCGCACCGGGCGCAGGGGGTGGGAGATGTAAGTCAAGCTTATTTGTGGGTTTAGACGGCTGTTTCGAAGAAAGACATTCGGAGTTCTAAGTGGAGATCCACTATGCAACGGGCTTAAACGAGGTTGTGTGAGCCGACGGCTCGTATCTAATTTGATGTCTGAAGCTTACTACAACCATAAATCCTCGGGCTAACTAATAGAACAATAGCGCAAACAAATATTTTACCAATTTGACGATAAGTTTGACCTGGGATTGTCCAATGTGAAAGCCATAGGGGCGGGAGTAAGGCGGTTAATTTCGCGGAAGCTTCGGAGGACCAAGCAATATATCAAGCCTTCCAAGCTTGAGTTCCCGCTCGACGCTATACCTAAACGGGGTGCCTAGTCTCCACTGGACTCTACATATTTTGCATAGTTTGCGTATTTTGCTCATTTTGCTCATTTTGTCACTACGGAAGTAACTCTCATGTTCCGTACTCCGAACTCCGTACAGAGTACTCCGTATGATATCCATACATATACCCCTATCTTCTGAGACCCATACTACAATTTGCCTCTCAATCTATACAACATTGTTGTAGACACTTTAGAGCGGGATCACGACATTATCGATGTTGATTAGATATCCTGATCAAGGTTTTCCACAAATTCCAATAGTCCAAGGGTAAATGCAGAATTCTAACTCAAGCTTAATTCTATTGATGCTTATTATGACAACCCGGGTGATCCGGAGTTATAAACTCCACATGTAGGATCCTTAGACTCTGATTGCTTCACTTAAATCTCTAGAATGCAGAGCTCCGAAGGCTGTTGCAGCCTAAACAAATTTGTTGGGACAGTTCATGTCTCAGGCGGATAGTACTTTGCTCTCCACCTTGTCTGATCCTTCTCTCTATCTTTCTGATAGCTAGCTAGCTTAATATAATATGGACACCACGCTTGAGACTGATTCGGTCTGCGATGAGGGCTGTGGCCTCTCCCTGAATATTTGATATGACGCGGTCAGCATCGTCTGCGCGGGCCAAAATATCACTTCTCCCGGGAGCGATGGTTTGTCGACCCGCATTAGGGGAACTCCTTGAGCTGGCTAACGAAACATGCACCAAGGATCCGGAGACTCATGCCTATTTTGATGGTGTGTCTTTTCTGAATTCTGTCTGTGCACTTCTGTCTGCGCACGCACACACACACACACACACACACACACACAACTAGCAGATGCATCAAAAGTCATTGATGGCTTCACCGACGTGCAGTTCTACTATCAAATGACCAAAGCCGAGCTTTGCTCCTATTGCAACGTGGAAAAATACCGCGTTAGGCAGTCCTCTCCGTACTCCGGCTCCAACACCGGGCCAGCTTTCTCCTACCAAGAAACATTGGAATACATATAAGCCACATGCTCTAGCAAGTTTGGTCCCACGGACACCCACACCCCAGTAAACAAGCCGATGCCATCGGTGACATTGTAGAGACAGCGCTGCTGCATCAGTATGACATGGCAGGTAAGATAGGATCCGCAGGAGAGTTTCATCTGAAAGGAATTGGAGAGACATATTTGATACTGGGAAAGTCTAGTAATATCAAACAATGCAATCTCTCGTCGTAGAGAAAAAAGAGAGAGTACATGAAGTGATGGAATGTTAGGGGTGAATGAGGTAGACAGTTGCGCGGATATATATAATGTGGGATCTATACCTTGTTGAAAAACCTCACTATTTTTTGAACTGAAGCTGCTCTTGTAAATGCTTGGAACACTCTGATATTCGTCTGGCTATAATCGAGAGTTCACTTTAAAACGCACTTAGATCCAAAGCTTGTACGATAGAATATAAAAAGTATTCACGGGCGTAACAATATATTTCATCCACCGTAACTCACTTTTTGCCCCCTGTACTCATAAAAGTTCACCATTCACGCTTAATAGAAATAATCCTATGGGTCATATAAGCCATGGCTAATAACTAACTATGGTCAGGCTCAGATACTATCTAATTCAACGGAGCGTCCAGGTAAATGACGTGGTTGGGACTAGTGAATCCGTTAAAGGTGGTTGAACAGACGGTAGTGTACGCTGCAGCCGTCATGATTGTTAGCAAAACTATCGCATATTAGCCGGGAAGGGGGGCAAACAGACCTCCCATATCCTTGAAAACCAACCAATCGCCCGTCCTGACCTCCTGACTGAACATACACCGGCTATTGATGCAGTCGTTCTGGTCACAGGAGCGGCCCCAGACCGAGCACTCCAAAGTACCCTGAGCGTTCTCATCGTGCCACTTGCCATCGCGGATAACTGCCACGGGTACAAAGCTCGAGGTGACGATGAAGCGCATCATGAAGTTACTGTAAATGCCGTCATTGATGTAGAGGCGGGTAGGCGCCTCGCCGCCAAAACCCGTCGCATTCGTGCGGCGCGCGATGACCTGCACCGCTAGATGGAAGGAACTGCACGAGAGCAGTGTCCCGGGCTCGGCGATAAGTTGCGGTCGTGGGATGATCGACCCGTTGCCGAAACACTCGTCCAGCGTCCGCTTTGCTTCGGCGGCGATGTGCGGGAATGTTTCGTCCGTGTACCCGCCGCCGATATCGAGGGTGTTAGGCTGCAGCCCCAGGCCCCGTGCATCTTTGAATACTTTGGCTGCGTCTTGAATTGCGCGCACGTAGCCGGCTGGGTCGGCGTTGGTCGGGGCTGGAAAATCCAAACAAGAATTGTCAGTCCGTTTTTTTCGGGATCGCTCCATGAGGGAAGGGAGAGAACTAACCAACATGGAAGCTCACTCCCTCAAAGTTCAATTGCAGTGCTTTGATAGTCGTGAGAAGGCTGGGAGCATCTTGGGTGGCGACGCCGAACTTGCTGCCCAGGGGATCGACGCCCGTGTGGTCGTCGGCGAAGACTCGCAGCATCAGCCGGGCCTCCGGATAGTGGTCTTTCATCTTCTGGAGCTCCTCGACATTGTCAAAGGTTATGAGCTCAATGCTGGCCCGGCGACAGAACTCGATGGAACTGATGGGCTTGCAGGGGTGCGTGTAGATGATGCGCTTCGCCGGCACCCCGAGAGAGAGAACCAATTCAATTTCCTCGGCTGAGGCGCAGTCGAAGCCGGCGCCGCACTGGGAAAGCGTCTGGAGTAACTGTCGATCATTGTTGCTCTTGACAGCTGTTTGGGGCTGGATGTTAGCCTCTCCCGGTTGTTTTATGGTTGTTTTGCTGATTTGGAAACTTCATCATCACACCTCTTACCGAAAAATGGTGTCACCCCTGGGAGAGTCTTTTGCCAGAGGTTATATTTGGTAATGACTTCACTCAGGTCAGCGACGAAGAAGGAAGCCTCGGATAGATGACTGGTCTTTTGGGCATTATTTTGCTGAATTTGTCGCTCGATCGCTCCTTTGATCGTTTGGGGTTCAATCATCGCTGCGTGGTCTTCTCTCTTAATCAAATAGGCAGGGATTATGGGTGAAGCAATAAAAGAGAAAGCACGATGCTCACCGAAGGCAAGACATTATGTATCTGTACCGCGAGCGACTGCCCTTCAAGCGGTGGCCTAAGCCTTAAGCAGTCACCCTAAGTAAAATACAGCCCGGCTGATCAGCAGTGATCCTGCAAGGACGAGGAATGCGGCGACAGAGAACAGTGTCGGTGACATGATAGCTATACAGACCGTCCACAGTAAGGGGGCTATCATCACACGCGTCCTGCTGATGGCGTAGTAGATCGGTTGAAGCCCATGCAATGGAGTAAGAATGGTCTAATGCCTATGGGATTTCTAAATCGCCATCAGCAAGTAGCAATAAGTGGCTCAGTGGCACTAGTGGGCTTTCTCACCGCTGATTAGATGGCAACGAGAGAGAGAGATGGTATTGGTCATATGCATGCACCGACTTTTCTCTGGGGATATGATGAGCTATCTCATGAACCCACCTTCTTGCTTTCTTCTCAAGTCCATGATCGGAATGTGATAGCCCTGGCTCATGTATGTGTAGCCATCGTAGTCGTGGGGAATCTTCTGATGTAATCGGGCATCTTTACAGGATGCTGCCGCAGACAATACAACACATGGAGATCGGAATACGACAACTACTTGGAGGCATGGATAATTTAGAGGACTAGACTACGTCACAAAACATTATATTGTATGAAGAGGTACGAATCATTCATTCATAGAGTCCATCGGGATAATTGGTGATCTCGAAGGAAACGGGACTCAATTCATTCACCAAGCGTCCTTTTACGTACATTACAGTAGTCTATTGTATATGTGCAAGCAAAAAGCGCTGCCTCATAAAAAGGCCCTAACTTCTTCCTGAGGCCTGCTTCTTCTCCATCACCTCTCTTCAGTCCATCTGTCATTTTATTTTGATCACAATATTGAACTAAAGAAATGCCTGCACTCCCTCTCTCTGAGAATGAGGGCTGGAAGCGCCCGACCACCCCCTTTGGAAAGCCGATGCTGAAGCATTTCTGCATGAACCCCGAGTATCGAAATCTCAATGCGCGTAGGTAAGCTTCAACCGAATATGAGGTCTCGGGGGACTAATACGCACCAGCATCCTGTGGTTCCTGGCCGAAGACCGTTCGCGATCAGTGGAGGCGTTACCTCGACGATCTCGAGGCCCAGCCTGACTACTTCTCCGAGGTGAAACAAGGCCCTGTGATTCAAGAGGCACGGCGGGAGGTTGCCCAACTACTTCATGCCCGCGTCTCCGAGTGTGTGTTCATCTCCAACGCCACCACGGGGATATACACCGTCCTCCATAACATTCCTTTTGACAAGGACGACGTGATCATCACCTTCTCGACCACGTACGGCGCCATCGATAATGCCATCGCCTCGATGGCGGAGACCCAGCCCTTCCAGACACGCAAGGTGACCGTTGACCTGCCTATGCGCGGAGAGGATATCGTCGCCCGGTTTGAGGGCATGGTAGCTCAGATCAAGGCGGAGGGGTTGCATCCTAGGCTGGCCGTCCTCGAGACCATCGTTAGCATTCCCGCCATACGGATGCCCTTCGAATCCCTCGTGCAAGCCTGCCAGAGGGAGGGGGTTTTGAGTCTGGTGGATGGTGCGCATAGTATCGGCCAATTCTCCCTGAACCTCGAGGTGCTGCAGCCGGACTTTTTTATTATGGACTGCCACAAGTATGAACAGAAAACTCAATTGATTCTTGAATGTTTCTAACACAGAAAATAGATGGCTGTTCGTGCCTCGTCCCTGCGCTGCACTGTATGTCCCCGAGCGCAATCAGCACTATATTCGGAGCACCATCCCGCCATCGTTCGGCTTCATCCCGAGGGATGGCAAGCCCGCTCTGCCCCTCTGGTCTAAGCAGTCCGGCGGTGGTAGTAGTGGCTCCACGGCAACGGATTTCGAGACTATTTTTGCCTATGTGGCGACTAGCGACAATATGCCGCATATGTGCATCCCCACAGCCCTCAAATTCCGTCGTGAGGTTTGCGGCGGTGAGGAGGCAATTTATCAGTATCTGCGCGTTCTAGCAAAGGAAGGCGGGGATAGGGTGGCCGCTATTCTGGGCACGGAGGTGCTTGACGAGAAACCAGCCGGAGAATACAAGAGTCAACGGACGCCGAGCGAGATGAGAGATTGTGGCATTGCAACAGTGCGCTTGCCCCTGGCCGTATCGTCATCCCTTAAGCCTCCACCCCACAGCGGCACACCGTATTCCCCACTTTCGGACGAGGAAGTGGGACCCGCAGTTCATTATCTGTCCATGACCTTAGCCGAAACTCACAAAACATGGCTTCCACTCATTGACCACGGAGGATACATCTGGGTGAGATTGTGTGCACAGATATATCTAGATACCTCGGACTTTGAGTGGATTGGCAATGTGCTTAAGGAGATATGTGAGACAATTGGGAAGAAGGGGCATGTCATTTCTAAACACTAGTGTGTGATAGGAGATAATTCCAATTTAAAGAGAATATGTGACAGAACCTGCCCCTGTCACGCTGTATCATGTGATCAGGATCGTCCCTTCACCTCCTTAGGCTGTTCCATCGTGACACACTTCACCCTCGACTCACCTCTCTCGGAACCAAACTCGATGACTTCATATTGCCGAGCCCAAGTACTTGAACTAGATTTTGCAACAAGGAGAAATAATAAGAACGAGTATAGATGAATAGATGTTTGGGAGACGAGCATTTAAAAGACAAGCCTGACCCATCCATTAATTCTGTGCAAATGTCAGATCAAACCCTGGGAACCCTTCATCTAGGCACTTGCACAACTCCTTCTGGTATTCAACCAACCCTCCAATCCTATTAGGCCTTAAGTCAGAGACAAACGTGCCAAGCTACTATATCTGTAGAGAGATAACGTACCATGTTGCTCCCTTGTTCTTCGCGCCCGGCCGGCAATACAAAGATTTTGACCAAAGCCGGTCGATCTTCTCGCGCCATAACTTTTGTGACTCAGCCGTTGACTCGACCTGGACCACCCCAGCTTTTCGGAAACACATGAGCGCCTGACAGATCCATTCGACTTGGACATGAATGACGGCGGGAGAGCTGACTAGCAGGGAAGGACACTGCGGTCCGTAAAGATATAGCATGTTGGGGAAATTATGCACAGCCATGCCGAGGAAGGAGTGGATATCGTCGGACCACATCTCCGCTAGCGAGACACCATCGCGACCGTGAATCGACAGCTGCTTCAAGCCACTCGCATCGTCCCCGAATCCCGTCGCCATGATGATCACGTCAAACGACCGGATCTCATCGTGGGCCTGGATACCGCCAATGGTAATGGCCTGGATGGGTCGCTGGCTGACATCGATCATGTCCACGTGGTGTCTATCGATCATCTCATACAGCCTGTCCTCCAGACAGGGCCGTTTGACCCCAAAGGGTGAGCCGGGCTGGTGTGGCACTAGCAGATCACGTTTCATCGCATCCTGCAGACGGGGTCGGACGTTCTCTGCCCAGAAGTCATAGGTGTCCCGGTTGGCGCGGGCATCGTAGTTGAGGTCACGGAAGCCTCCCATCCAGAATGCCCAGCCGCCTTCGCGGATTCGCTTCTGATAGAACTCCAACCTCTCTGTGGTCGAGGCAGATAAGGTGTCCTGATCGCGCATCGTATAGTCGAATCCGCTGAACGACTGCAGGCCGCGCTGAAACGCGGCATCAAAGGCTTCCACGCCCATTTCTAGCAGGTCAGACCCCGCCAGCTTTGGTGGCCGGTTGCCGTATTTGGGGAGTGTCAAAAAGGGGGTCTGCTGGTAGATCGTTAGGCTTTTGGCCACCTCGCCCACGCTCTGGATAATTTGCACGCCACTGGGTCCGGTACCAATGATGGCCACGTTTTTGTTCTCCATCGAGACGGCATCGTGCGGCCACTGGGCTGTGTGATAGACCTGGCCCTGGAACCGATCCAGGCCGGGGATTTGGGGCATATTGACCACTGAGTTGAAGCCCACCGCGGGGATGAACCACTGCGCATAGATCTCACGCCCATCAGCGAGACTGATTGCCCACTGCTGGGATTCCGCCGAGAAACGGGCTCCCGTGATATGGGCCCCGAATTCGAAGCCTTCCGAGATGCTCCATTCTCTGTCGACTTGCTCGAAGTATCGTAACATCTCGGCTCGACTGGGGTATTCTTCGCGCCACTGCCAGTCCTGGAGTAACCCAGCATCGTAGAACTGGTAGAATGGAAATGGACTATCGACCGCGGCCCCGGGATAGGCATTTTCTCGCCACACCCCCCCCAGCGACGCTTTCCGCTCGAAGCCTCGAACTCGAAGCCCTAACTGCCGTAGTCTAATTGATTCGTGAGCGTTCGGTCTCTAGGATTCGGACCTGAAACGAACGTCAACTAGCTTACTTACCTATGGAGAGCCAAGATGCCTGAAAATCCGGCTCCGACAATGGCCACGTCTAAAACGTCGCGAGTCATGATGGTGAGTGAACCGTGGTGAAAATGCTTGGATTGGCGATTACTTGCTTCTACGGGACAGAATATCTCCCCACCTCCCCTCTCAACCCACCGCCTCCTACAACGCAAATGTGAGAGACATCGCAATGCCACACGCATTACGTGTCAGATCTTGCATGCCACGCCTGACGTAGCCCATGCTCTCCACCTCCATTCGACCACGAAGGCTTCCGCACGCCATTGCATATGCAGGACGCTGCTGCTCGCCACCGCTTGGTATGTAGCCACTAAAAAGAGAAACCTGTCATACGCAAGGATGATCCAGACAGATCTGCTGCAGCGGGGGTTTCACCAGATGCACAGAATACGATAGTTGAGGGGTTTCTTGGAATGCAGACCAACAAATGTAGATCGGAAGATTCATCAACTCGAACAACACACGTTCTCTCACCCTCACCGACAACGCGTCTATGCTATGTTTGGTTTTTATTAAGATCGATGGGCTCGCGAGACAGATGCAGTTACACCCCGGTCAGCATTTATTTTTTATCTCTTTTATAGCTTAACGCTGCAGTTCTATCGTGTTCATTCTTCCTGGTATCAACTATTCGATCATGACAGTGACTGCTGAAATTGAGGCTTCTCCTAGTCGGGATCCGAGAGCGTTTGAGACGCTGCTTCTCCATGGAGGGTGGGTTTGATTGAAGGAGAGCTAGAGGAATATCAGTAATGCTAAGTGATTTATTGTGGCGCAGGAGATTTCCCGACGTGTTGGGCAGTTGTGCTGTACCCGTTTACAATTCCGCGGTAGGGTATTCAATTCAAGTTCATGCAGTCTCAAGCCCTTCTCTAACTCTCCCTTCGTGTCTTTTGGGGTCGCTATCTAGGCTTTCCAATTCAACAGTACCGAGCATGGTGCGCGATTGTTGAATGTTACACAACTCGGACACATCTATAGTCGGTTCACAAATGTCTGTCTCTATCACTTTCTAGATCCTTTCGGATCTTATATGCTGGTAGCCACTGACACTTTGTTTCTAGCCCACGGTAAATGTTCTTCAGAACCGCATCGCTCTCCTGGAAGGAGGAGTAGCCGCTTGTGCGGTCTCGTCGGGGTCTGCGGCAGTGGCGTTGACGATGATGGCACTGGCGGGCACGGGGGACAATTTCGTTTCCTCGTTCCATGTCCACGGGGGCACTTTCCACCAATTTAGCGTCTTGGCTAAACAGATGGGCATCGAGTGTCGGTTTATCAAGTCCGAGGATCCGCAGGCCTATGCCGACGCCGTGGATGAGCGCACCAAGTTTGTATGGATCGAAACCATCAGCAATCCCGGTAATGTGATCCCGGACTTCGAAGAGTTGGCCAAGGTGGCACGGGAAAACGGACTACCACTGATTGTAAGACTACTGATTCTTTGCTTCTTGATTTTGTTTACCGGATTAGGCTCTTCCCATGACTCAGTACTCGTGGAAATCTAACAATCTGGCAGTGCGACAACACCTTCGGCTGCGCCGGATATTTCTGCCGACCTATCGATTATGGGGTGGATATTGTGGTTCACTCAGCCACCAAATGGATTGGCGGGCACGGCACGACCATCGGGGGTCTCATCGTGGACGGCGGCACCTTCGATTGGGGCCGGCACCGCGACCGGTTCCCCCAGTTCCACGCGACCGACACGCGCCTATGGGAGAAGTTCGGCCGGCGGGCGTTCGCGATGCGGTGCCAGTTTGAGATCTTGCGGGACACGGGGAGCACACTCAGCGCGAGCTCGGCGCAGCAGCTGCTGATCGGGCTCGAGTCGCTGGCCGTGCGATGTCAACGCCACGCGGAAAATACGCAGGCGCTGGCTGATTGGTTGTGCGGCAACAGCAACAGCCAAAAGCGCCAGGTCAGCTGGGTCAACTATATCGGCCATCCGGACCATCCACATCATGCCCTTGCTAAGCGGTATCTGCGGCGGGGGTTCGGGTCCGTGTTTACATTTGGCATCACGGGCGGTGTTGCGGCCAGCGCGAGGTTCTGCGATGCATTGAAATTGGTGATTATTACGACGAAGTACGTATACCCTCTCTGAGGGGATGATACTGGCAGAGTAAAGCCGAACAACACTAACAGCTACATCCAAGCCTCGGAGATGCTAAGACCCTTGTCGTTCATCCTGCCAGCACCACACACGAGCATTTCACGCCAGAGGATCGCAAGGCCTGCGGGGTGACGGACGAGATGATTCGGTTGTCGGTGGGGATTGAGCAGATCGACGATCTGCAAGCCGATTTCGCCCAGGCTTTTGCTCAGCTCCACATTCCGTGTGCCCCACAGCCGCCCGAGTTGGCTCTGCTGGAGGAGGCCCAGGAAGAAGTTGTGGCTGCGCTATATAATTACCCACCAGGGATTTTTATGGGCAATTGATCAACATTCTTGTGACTCGTATTTTATCTTGAATTTAATGACAATATATATATTAAGCCGATTTCTCCAATATTTCCAGTTATGTCATTTTGCGGTGTAGTTTTTGCAATGATGATTGAGAAAACGCGGAATAAATTAGAAGATCATAGATCGACATCATCCTACTGGTAGTGTCCATATACTGGGAATCAACATTAGTACGAACCAAGTACAACGTCACATAGTAGAAATATTTCCGGCTGGCCTTTCTAATCCGGACCGCCACGTGCGCACTAATGCCCTAACATACGGCAACTACAACATATGTACAGACATGCATGCACACATCCCTGCTATATTGACATCAGAGACAAATCAATTATGCACTGCAATTCTGTTGGGATTGTACAAAATATGTTAGTATGTTGTAGATTAGGTATTCCTACATGCAGGAACTTGCGTTTTGTTCTCTGCCGTTATACATATGTGATCCTCACTTTGTGCTTCGCTGCCGTGCTACATATATGATCGTCACTTTATGCTTCGCTGTCGTGCTACATATATGATCGTCAGATCTGGGCCTTCAAACTCGTAATTAAGTGACGTTGGGATCACACTGTGGCTGGCTGAGCTCCTTTTCTTGCAAGAAGCGGTGTGTTGTTACGTTATCGTACAACATACAGAATACGGAGTACTCATGGTTGAGACATCAGAATCGCATGCATCGTAATAGACTTTTATTGAAGACAAGGCAGGGAGCTGAGAGTAGGTAAAATCAAGACATTAACTTGAGGCAGAAAAATAATTGCAGACACAGTTCACAGCCAGCAAATCGGGAGATAGTAGAGTATACAAACCCGACCCTCTAGGTAGGAATAAAGCTACACATCCATATCCACATCCAGAATACTCCCCCAAATTGAACACAAACCACGAAACACCAAGCAACAATGCCTTCTCTGCCATCACTTGCCCATGATCCGGCCCCTAAACTCCCAACTTTAACCCCCAAGCAAATCCAACACTACCAAGAAAAAGGCTACCTCATCCTTCCCCAAGCACAACACCATCTCTTCCCCTCTCTGCAGTCCTTCAAATCCTGGATCCATGAAGTGTCCGTCTGGCCATCACCCCCAGACCCCACGAAGCCCGAATCTTACCGCCTGTACTACGAACCCTCCCCTGTACCAGGGGAGGACCCACTCCTCTTCGACACAGAGCGCGTATCCGAGTCCCACCAGCCACTAGCTAATATCATCACGGGCCCCGCAGCCATTTCCCTCCTCCACCAATTGACCGGCCAGCAAATGCTGCTCTTCAAAGACGAAGTTGCCTGGAAGCTACCCGGTGGGCGTGGCGCGATCCCGCACATTGATCTCCCGGCATACGGGGACTTCGCACCGGAGTTTGTCGAGATCATGATCGCGGTGGATGCTCACACAGCCGAGAATGGGTGTATGGAGGTTGTAGATGGGAGTCATCGAGAGGAAGTTCCGTTTGGGGAGGGGGGCAGGATTGTTGGGGATTGGGTTCAGAAGTTGGAGGGACAGGGGAGGGAATTTGTGCCGGTTGTTTTGGAGGCTGGTATGTATTTCTTCTGGGGATTTGGTTGAGGAGATGGGCTGGGCTGACTATGTGCGTACGTACGTACTATAGGAGATATACTCATCTTCGGGGAGAAGCTGGCACATCGGTTGGGGCCGAATAAGACGGACCAGCGGCGCGCGGCGGTGTTCGCAACTTATCATTTTGATTTGGAGAAGCCGGATCTGAGGGACGAGTTCTTTGCGCACAGGCTTGTGGTGTGTCCACCGGGGATTGGTAGGTTATCTATTTCCTTTCATTGTGGAAATAATAAGGGCATAGAGGATGTCGCTAACATTTCGTCTATCTTAGTTTGATTAAAAAGAGCTACTTGTAGGGATATATGTAGGGTCTGAGCTAGGCAAAGGACAGGTTAGCAGGGCAATCTCGAAACAAAAATATCTACAACGGATGTTTGGATTTATTGAGTTGGCACAAAGTTGATGCGGATCGATCAGGATTTGTGTAAAGTCGGCAGTCCAAGGTAGCCGGAACATTTTCTCCCTTAACCCATGGGCATCACATCTATATGGCGTGCAAAAGGAAAAGAAAAGCCAACAGCCAGACTCAGACCAAACTCTCAATTCATGCTTCATATGTACAGATACTCCTTGAGAAAATTCTCTCACAGATCCAAAATAGCATTCGGCTCCTTCAACATCCAATCTATAATCTCGCCATACCGCACCAGCCACTCCCTTGACTCGTTCTCCCCCATCACCGAATCAAAAACCGTGAACTCAATCTCCAGCCCCTTCCCCTCAACCGGAACCGCAGTCACCCACGCCTCCCCGGGCTGCAGTGATCCCGAGAACTGCGAGGCACATTGCGCCAGCAACGGGCTTCCACCAGCGACCACCTCTGTATCCGATATTCCCGGCATGTCATGGTAGGCGAACATGAACCCGATGTTAGCGTCCGCTGGCCAGGCTGTAAAATTCTCCACCAAGACCCGCCAGTCGATGACCCCGTACGGGAGAGAGGCAATGTATTGATCTTGAATGGATTGGAGGAGTGTTCGGACAGTGATCTTCCTTGCAGAACCAAACTGTACGCAGAGAGGGATGATGGAATGGCACGCCCCGATGACCGGGCGCGTGCCCTGGGTACGCACTCCGTCGCGCCCGTTCACGCACTGCGTCAGCACCACCGTCGCCTTATCCTCTTCCGTCCGCTCCCGCATGAGCATCGCCCACGCCGCTTTGGCCACCGTTGCCATTGGGATCCCCACCGGTGGTGGCGGGCTGGAAATGGCTACCCGATGCTGGAGGTGGAGTGCCTGCGGCGGGGGACCGTGCTGCTCGAGCTTTCGGGTCGGAAGCTTAGGTGGTGGAGTACCCTCAAGTAAACTTCGCCAGAAGTGCCCTGCGGCCGGATTCTTTAACTGCTCGTGCGCTTGCCGCGCAAAATCGCCATAGTTTGACGAAGACGAGGGTGAAGCCACTGGGGATGTTTGATTTTGGGCGTATGCCGCCCACAGGCTCGACGTGATTTCTGCCATGCAGTCGCCATCAGATTGAGCGTGAGACAGCCGCATGATGAAGGCGGACTGCGGTGGATGGTCGGCGCTAGAATCTTTGTGCTGTGCTAGCACAAACCCCGCTGCTGGTTCCCACGAGGCATGCGTGCGTTGGCGGTCGCCGTGGCTCCACGCCTCAGCCCATGCGGCCAGGTCTGCTTTTGTTCCATCAGCAGCCTCGAGGGTATGGTGCTGGAGGAGTTCGGCAGGTGAGTGACTGAGAACGACGTTGATGAGTCGTCCTCGGTCACCAAAGGGGACTAATATGGATCGGAGAGCCGTGTGGGCTTGAACTAACGTTTGACAGGCCTCCTTGAGTCGTCTGACGTCCACCTCCCCGGTGAGTATGAAGGTAATGTAGACGATCTCGTTGGCTTCTCGGCTCTGCGCCCCTTGGGTAGGGAAGACATCCTCAATGTCTGCGTCGAGAAGAATCGCCGGGCGATGTTCCAGAAATTTAGCTTTCAACGGTGCGAACGAATCATTCTTTGTTGCGGGAGTAGTAGCCGTACTAGAAGCGAGCGCGGTGAGGGACTCGCTGTCGAACACATCGGCCACGGTTATATTGAGGCCCGCGTGGCGACATAGCGTCACCATCTGACGAGCGGCTAAGGAGTCCCCCCCGAGCAGGGAAAAGGAGTCTTGCATGCCGATGCTCTCCTTGGAAACGCCCATTGACTCGGCACAGGCCCGCCAGATGATCTCCTCGTTTGGATTCGTGGCTCCGATCTTGATCTCTGTGGGTTGTTGTTCGTGCAGATATGCCAGTAGCGTCTCCCGAGACAGAGTCGAGCCACATTCTTGGAGGCGTGGCCGGTTCATCTTTCCGGAAGGGGTGAGTGGCAAGGCCAGGACGGGGATGATGACCGTTGGCACCATGTAGCTAGGAAGGACTTTGGCAAGGCCTGCCAAAGCAGCCTTAGCCTCATCGCGCGATTCAGTTGTCGGCGGGACGAACATGGCATCGCTTTTTATATCGCCAGGCAATGAGGCCTTCTTTTCCATGACGAACCCAGCGAGCATAGAATGATGATGGTCATCCCCGTCCGCGGGCACGACCAAGACCGCCGCCACGCGTGCGCATGTGGGATACTGATGCTTCAAGTGATACTCTACCTCGGTCAAGTCCATACGCTGGCCTCGTAGCTTTACTTCTGCCGCCCCAGTTCGACCAATATATTCGATCGACCCGGTCTCGGCACAACGAACCATGTCCCCGGTTCGGAACAAGCATTGGTCTTTGAGGTCTTCAGTCGACCGCATTTTAGCGAGCCATGCCGGAGCAGGGATATACTTGTCACTCGTTTGAAAGGGATCGTTGAAATATCCTCGACCAAGGCAGGGCCCTTCTAGTACGAGCTCGCCCACGGCTCCCGGTGGCATCAGCCGATCCGCAGCATCGCAGTCGACGATCCAGCCACGGTAAGCATGGGCTGCTATGTGTCCTAGATCTCGCGGATGATGGTTTTGCAGCGACTCAGTCTTGTTGCATCCTAGCGGAGGGAATCCAGTCTCGGATTGTCCGTACATGGTCATCAGCTGTGTGTTCGCGGCCCATTGCTCAAGATCCCCCGTCGTGAGTGGCTCCCCGGCCAGGAAAAGCGTTTGAAGAGACGGAACCTGCTTGGGATCCATGGTGCGGGCCATGGAGGGCGTCATAATTGTCCAATTTGCGTCCAGGGCTCGGATACTCCCGGCAATATCATTCTCGAGTTGGCCGGCCGACGGCACACAGAGACAGCCTCCTCGTGATAATGTGCCAATGTAGTCAAAGACACATACGCCAAAGGCATGAGAGACAAATTGAAACACCCGGGATGAGGCATTGAGTCGAAGCCGTTTCTGCAAGGACTCCGTACTCCAGCCTGTGAAAGCCGCGGCGTGCTCCACCACCGATAGTTTGGGTTCGCCAGTCGAGCCTGAGCTAAAGATTGCCCATGCGGCATTTCCTGGCTGGACCTCATTGGATTCAAATTCATCGTGAATAGAATCACTTGGATCCAGTAGATCAGGGTGAGGGACCTGCAGCATAACAGTCTGCAGGCTAGTTGCACGATCCGCATAGCTGGCCGAGCAGAGAACTAGGGGAGTCTTCGTCTTTTGAGCAATCATTCGGAGACGATCCTGAGGCTGGCCAGGGTCTAAAAGGAGGAAAGCCGCTCCGCTTTTCAAGGCGGCTAGGATAGACACGGCGACCCAGACTGACTTCTCCATCAGGATACAGACCATATCATCGGGTCGGATGGGAGCGAGGCTCACCATCTTTGACGCCAGACGGGAGGAAAGCCGGTCCAGCTCGCGGTAGGTCAACTTGCCATCCCATGAGTTCACCGCCGGCGCTGAAGGCTGAATCTGGCGCTGCACTGCTATCCCATGATGGACGCAAGCTTCCACCCGGGGAGGTGGTGCTTTGCCTTGGTGCTGAATGATATCGGCTAACCCTTCAGGGCTCGTTCTCCGCAGGGAGATTGAAGGCGAGTCTCTGTTTTGGGGTTGCAGAATCTCATGGATTGCCGACGCAAGCTGATGCAGCATCATTTTCACCGTGTATGAGGAAATCGATTCCGTCTGGAAGTGCGCTTCAACTGTTATTCGATTTTCACTCCTACTGCTGCTGCAAATGACTACCAGTCCCCGCCCATTCAACACTCCCATGGGAGATTCATGAGAAGTAGCTTCGCCCTGAATGCAGAGCACATTTTGGAACTGCTGGGCCCGGATGGCATCCTCGCCAAGATTGCTAAGATGATACTCCGGGGAGAGGAGATTGGTCACCGCTTGGAATTCCCCAACGCGGGATGTTGTCGAGCTGAGGAGCTTAGTCACTGTCTGTTGGTCGCTGATTTGGACTCGAAAAGGCAAAATATTCTCATGACCGTGGGTTGGGCCCAGAGATAGCCCGAATATAGTATCGTTGTTGCCCGTGTAGCAGGACAGAGTAATGCCCCACGCCAGAGTCAATATGGCCGGGATGGACCCAACATCGGCCTGTTGTGTATTGAGGTTGAGAGAAATCTCTCTGCAGATCTTTTCACTCCGCGATGATTCCGTCGACAAGGATGGCGTTGCTGGAAAGACACTCGCGGTGAGATTCTGTAACTCCCTTCTCCAAAATTTTTCAGCTCTTTCCACTGTTGGCTTGGACACTGTCATTTTGGAGATTCTTGGAAATCGTTTGAGAGGGAAGCATTCCGGGCGAGAGCAGGACGAGTAGAGTAGACCTCAGGACAGTCGTTTCTGCCAGTACATCTTCGTACATCGATGAATACGTAATTGTGCAGCGCAGGGAATAGTTGGCAATATGTGCCGTCCTGCATGTTAAGGTTGGTACGTATTGTTCAATGCACTACTACCCAAAGTCATTCAGTCACCGCTATCCGGTGCTTTGATGTATCGTACTGCAAGGCATTGTGGAACCATTTGTGCTGAGAGTTGCATGACGTTTGTCGACGCATGCCAGATTGAAGCCGTGACCGCAAGACCGGCTGTATTCTGCTCTTCTGTGGACAAGCGTACATCTGAAAACAGTCTGAGCAAGCTGGAACGGGTGTCTCAGGCAAAACTCTGAGAATTTGGGCCCACAGGGTCTGGAAATCATGTCTAGGGTCGTAAATTGTTCCCGTTTTCTTTTCCACTTGCGTAATGCTCCATGCGCATGGTAGATAAATGTTGACCCTGCTAGATTGATTTTCTGAAGCATTCCACATTTCCTCTCATTACATACCCTGGCTTCAAGCATCCAACTCTTAACTTTTGGGCATCAAAACATTTCAAAATGGTAGGAATTGAGATCGTGGAACCGGCCGACGTGCCCGTGATCGATCTAAATGCCCTCTCCTCCCCTTCCCCTGCGGAACGCCGAGTTGCCCTGGCGCAGCTGGATGAGGCCTACCGAACCTACGGTGCCATTTGGCTAGTCAACCATAGCATTGGCGTGGACCTGGTTGAGGAGGCTTTAGCATGGGTTAGTAGAGATCTTTTCCTCTTCCCCCTTTCCTAGAAAGTTCCCAGACAAGATAGCAGCAGATGGGGAAAAAGGACCCCTGAAAGTTTGAGTGAAACAAAGATATCTAATAGCTGCTATAGTGTCAGCGCTTCTTCCAACTGCCGCGCGAGCAGAAACAGACGGTCTCTATGCCGACCAAGAATGCCTCCGAGCGGATCGAAGGGTGGTCGGACGTCGGGGCAAGCATCTCATCTCAGGGGGTGTGGGATCCGAACGAGCTGGAGAAGATCCGTGCGGCCAGCTCGATCGAGCTGAAGGAGGTGCTCGACAGCCTAGACCCGACCTCGGAGGCGGCGCAGGACTCGGAACGACTGCGCAAGCTGGACCAGATGCTGCCCGGATTCCCGGCATTCATCGAACGGTGGTGGGACGCTTGCTTTAAGCAGCAGACCGAACTGATGCGCTGCCTGTGCGAGATCCTTGGCATCGCCGACACCGATTTCATTGTCAAGCAGCAGCAGACGCCCCGCCACGGCTCCACTCATCTGACCTGGAATTACTTCTTGGGGATGCCGCTCTCGCCTCTGAGCAGCGGCAGCGCCAACCGCCTCAACCCGCACACTGACTATGGGCAGTTGACCCTGCTCTTCCAGGATATGCAGGGCGGGTTGGAGATCCTTGACCCCGTCGCTGGCATCTATCGTCCTGTCCCGCCTCTGAAGGGCGCGATGATCATCCAGGTAGGCGATATCCTGGAAAAGCAGTCGAATGGTCGGTGGAGGAGTCCGTTGCACCGCGTGACAGCGCCGAATCATCTCATGTATGGCGGGAACCCTGGGGAAAGATCTGACCAGCAGGAGGATGCCTTGGTGTCACGGTGCTCCATCGTGTTTTTGTGTTATCCCGGCTATGAGACGGTGATTGAACATCTTCCTGGATGTGAAAAGAAAGGAAACTGGAAGACCTTGGAATGGGAGGGTAACATGACGGCGGGGGAGTGGATCAAGCGCCGGGCCGCTCTGGAGTATGAACGGCCCGAGTGAGTGTCACGTACAGGCGACGAAGTACGCCACCAGTTCATAACTCTCTTATTGAATACTACCTCATCGCCTCTTTCATTGCCGGCTTCTCGAAGCGTCCATGAATATACTACTCCCTAGTTATATGTAGAAAGGTCTCTTACACGAAGCACGCTTTCCCCCCCCGCCTTCAAATACATTTAAAAAGATATCTAGAAAGGCCAACTAAAAAGACATTAGAAAATGGCCAAATCCACTACTGAGTGTTTCTGGGTAGCATGTTAAATCAACTCGAAAGACACTGTATGCGCTATATTTAATTCCGTTGCCTCCACGTCGGAACAATTAACGAAGAGAAAAAGAAAATCAAGCGGTTTTTCTAAGCACGAAGCACACCCTGCCTGCTGAAATCATAAATTTCTCCACGATCTCAAGCTCCGGACAGGCCTGAGAAAATAAATTCCTCCACTCCTCCATGCTCTTCGCAAGCGTGCCAAAACAGGCGAGCATGTGCAGACTCTCCCAGTTGGCTGAGGCGGACATGATCCCCGCTGTCTTAGGATCGATCAAATCATCCACCAGCAAAAGAGACTTGTTAGGAGTCATGGCCCGAGCCGTGTGCCTGATGATCTCGCGAGCGTCACTTGTCATCATGTCAGAGTCAAAGTTCAACGGTTCTGAGGAAGAACCCAGGCAACAACATGACATAGAGAGGACTTACGTTAGGGTTCGGTCCATGAGGATGTTGCTCATCAGGTAAACATCGGCTTCCTGTACAGGTTGTCTCTCAAGGAAGCTATGTGCTTGCCATTGCACCCTTTGTAGTAGCTGCCGCGAGTCGTCGTCACCGGTCGTCGTGGGGCTTTTGACCTCGTAGTCCTGCACTACAAAGGACAATTGGGGATGCTGCCGGGCAATTCGAAGGGAAATATGTCCCTTTCCACCTCCAATATCAACAACCACGGCGCCTGCGGGGAGCTGGCTGAAATCAAAGAACTGCTCGACTGGCAGTTGATTCACACTCTGCCATTCCATCGATCGATCGAACCGGGCCCCGCGAGCTTTGTCGAACCTGTCATAGTAATCGTAGAATGTTTTCTCGGCTGCAGGTGAGGTTTAGTGACTCTGGATCTCAATATTGAAAAATAAAAGAAATGGCTAATGGCGTTACTTACTCTGAAATCCCATCTGAAATGGAGTTCGATGAGGGCAGTCCAGCAGGCGACCACTAATGCTAGAGACGTATTCCGACACATAGGCCCCTGTGCGCAGCCCAACATCAGAGCTGCGTTGGTCGAAATTAGCCCGGTTGTTCAAAGAGCAGATTCTCTCCAGACCTCAAATACTACTAACATGTAATGCACCCAGGCCGCAAAACCCTCTTGAAGCAAGCCGCGCGAGTGCCTATTCAGCTGGTATACTTCTGGGGATGGCTCGTGAAGAATTTGCTGCATCACACACTCCCTCATCAGACACCCTGAACCAAATATCCAAAGTCAGTACTGGCCTCACTCGAGACAGAATAGCATGCGGTGGATCAAACATACGAACCAACCCTTTGGATACGTTCAATGCCTCTGCCAACTGATCCAACGACATGGTAGCCTCCTCTGTCTTGGACATCATGCTGGGAATTTTCCAGTCGAGAAACAGACACATTGCGATACTGCTCTGATACCCAGCGGCGAGACGACAGCTCCATTCCTCGGTGGGCGTAACTGCTGCTTCCAATTCCCGGACCGCATTCAACAGGGACGAAACATCCTCCTCTCTTAACTTGTTGCTGCTTTTGTTATACGAGCGAGTAAATTCCCGAATCTGCTGGGTGAGAATCTCGGTCTCGAAGCTTTTTTCTTCACGGGTCATTCTTAGGGTGAGTTCGTGTAGTATACCGGGCGTCTTCTTCTGGCTGGAGTGCTTGATACCCTGAATTGCTCTGTATCTTGTATTTATTTTGAGATAAAGCTAGTTAGTCAGACTCTCTGATTCTCACAGTAAATTTATTCTATTTATTCTATTTATTCTATATTTCCTTCCCCCCGTACCTGGCGGTGTGTGTGTGTGGGTGTGTGTGTATGTGTCCAATGCAAGTATGCGCTGTAAAACCTGTCTGCATGCATACATCTCCTTTCCGTGTGCTCAGTCCTTCTGTAAATGATCTGCTCTTTCAAGCAAAAAGAAATTCAAATAATCAGCTGCATTAAAACTTCGGTCTACTTGAACCCAGTCTGCTTAACTATAAAATGTTTAATTTTTAGTTTATGTTTTCTATTTTACTTCAAAAATGTTCTCTAAAGTATTCTTTTTAATAGTCCATTATATAGCTAGTGTAGATTTTATTAAATACAAATTATAAAGCTATAGGACATCCCTATAAAACTACGATTTAGAGTGGAGTATATTCCTTAGCGCATATAACTGTGGCAAACAGAAACATGCCAAAGGAACTGATAATCAAAGTTTGTGACTCTAAAAATCATCCCAGCTCTGCTATACCCATCTTTTCATCCCGATGGTCTCTACGGCTGGAACTTTAATCGTGGCTTGCCCTGGTCACTTCACTAGGTAGGAGCCCTATAAAGCTCACTAGGGCAATACGAGGCGTATTGGGGGTTTTAATAGGGGCGACCTCATACATGTTCCTCAAGTTAACGATACATATTTGGCTGACTTCAACATTAAAACTACAGTTGGCGTGATCATCCACAAGAGCTCGCGTATGTCCATAGCTCTTCGGGTCGCGATGACGTAGTGCCCCCTCGGTCCCCTCCACATCATAGATCGTAGTAAATACCCCAGGTATAGGAGTGGGGTGGAGGCTGAAAGTGGCCTGGCAGGTACTTTGAACAGAACCCAGTGCCCCTTCGTGGGCACGTCATACAGGCACCAGTTGCAATAAGGGGGTGTGCCGTTATTTATCTTGCGAAAAATGCCACCATAGTATTAGCGATTGCTGTATAAGGGTTCGACGGCAACCCCGAAGTTCCACTCGCAAGTGTGTCGATGATCTTCTGCCACACATTGGTGCCGATAGTGGCGGATAGGCCGTCATGTATAGAGGCGATCTTCTTGCGTTCATCAAAGTAGGGTTGTTTTCATCACCTTGTCGCGATCTAATTTCTCCTTCGACTGGGAATGGAATTTGAATTGAGTGACCACAACCTTGTCTTGTCGACTGCAGCACCGGTCGCGTACATGTAAGAGGAAAGCTAGTCGAAGGATTCGACCTAGTAATTGATCTGGGTCAGATTAGGTAACCAACTAGGTCTAGGGCCCTAAATTAGGTTATAAACTAAGCAAACACGCTAATTATGTGTATAATTCTGCTGATTTAGCTGGTTGATGACTGCTAGGACCCCCTTTTATATAGAAACTGGGTCGAACTGGGCCTATACTGGGTTTTCTAGGGCCCTAGTCACTAGGTCAATGTTAGCTTTAGGTTATGAGCTTTCGACCCAGACCCAGACTAGGTTGGGTTCTGGGTTGAGACCTTCGACCCAAAATGGGTTTTGCGGAAGACTACCCGCGGGTCACTGCCAGGTCTAGTTGGGTCTGGGTTTTACTGGGTCGTGCGGAAGACTAATCCCGGATGTATTAGCCTAGAACTTTGTTCGCTCTTGATCAGCTGGCTTTATTTCCTGAGTCTATTGGATACATAGAAACCGAAGATGTACGTTACGTCAGGGGTGACAAGCCACATGGTTCATGTCGACATGCTAACGTAATAGAAGTCTCGAAGAGTCGACATCAAATGCCGGTCATCCTCATCACATCACCGCAGTATAAATTAAAACAGCCCTAAATCGCGAAAGATCAGCCGGGGAAGGTGTGAGACGAGAAATAGAAAGAACGACGAAAGAACGAAAAAAGAACGAAAAAAGAAAAAGAAATTCGAAGTTCTATAAAGACAAATCTGACATTTTACGAGTAGAAGGGCTTATCTAGCTCTAGATCCCAGCTGGAATTATAGTTAAAAGCTAAATCAATATTAATAGCGCCAGTTCAAGTATAACCATTCCTTGAGTAGATCTGGCTAGATCAATTTGGACCCAAGGGCGTCCATCAATAATACGAACCAAAGGCTTTTGATTATCTAATAAGAGAACGTTGCTAGTTATAAGATGGTCAATGACCTTTGGTGATGATATATTGTATTCCTTGCCTGGTAATTCTTCTGTCAAATTTAGCTCGACGCAAAGTGAAAAACAAGATTGCTTGAGTGGTATGGCTGATAGTACTCCTATTCCACCATTTCGAGAAATCCATGAGCTCGTCCCAGATGAGTCCGATGGAGAATCTATTCCAGGCGCCCCCCTTCTTCAACCTACTTTATGTGAGGTTGACGAATTTCTAGCCGCGGAATTGGACGCCACGCTGCTCAATAAACTGGGTTCATATTTGGATTTCGTTGCTACAAGATCCGGCACGCATATAGACTCGCTGAGCAGCCATATCACCAAAGGTCGCAAGATCAGAATTACAGAGGATCCAGGTCTTCACCTTATTTGGTACTATAATATCCTGTTCCTCAAGCCTATCCCACATTGTCTTCTTAATTACGGCTTTTGGAGCAAATACCTATCACCAAGACAGCCGCCACCCAACGATACGCTCTCAGACTCCTGCAGGTCCGCGCTAGGGTTTCTTCGTACCTACAGGTATCTTATAAAACATGATTCGGATTTCACAACTGCCGTGGAGAAACACTTGATCCCGACTGATGTCAAGTTTAAAAGTTTTCAACTCTTCATTGACAATTTTCAACCCCTCGCCGACAGTGTAGTTGCTCCACGATACCATTACGGCCAGATGCGCCTGAGTCGTTTGAACACTGCCGTCTGGTTGTTTCCTCCGCGTCAATGGTACTATCATCGGCTTGATTGGCAAATGGGCCAATACTTTGCTCGCTGGGCACCTCCGTTGCTTTTCATTTGGGCATCAACAAACTTGGTCTTGTCTTCTTTCTCACTTGTGCGTAGTAGTCGCGGCAATGACACCTGGGCTTCATTTATTACCACAAGCTGGATCTTCGCACTTGTGGTACTTTTCGCTATCGGTTTCACGATTGCTGCTCTATTAATAGTGATAGCGTGGGTCTATGGAAAGCAGCTCGCATTTGCCAGTCAAACAGCCTGGAAGCACTACCGAGGTGTTAAGAGCCAGAAGGCGGCAGCAAATGATACAGCCTAAGAGGAGGAACATGATGTTGTGATCTCAGAGGTATGTGACGGAAATCTGGCTGTACGACAATGTATGGTAAAAATGGCAGATATGGATGACTCTTTAACGACAAAACCCGCTCTTTCAACAATCTGTGCGGAAATCGATGACTAACTGTAATATACACTTTTGTACGGTATGTCTAGTACTCGAAGTCACATAATGATTAAGGTATAATACCCGGTTTCAACCATCCATGGATGTATTCAACCTTAGACTTTGACAATATGTCATACTACTATTGCCGATCATCTGCACCCTCTGTCTAGTGAAATGGATCTATATTTTGAGCTACTGAGATCTTATGACGGCACACGTTTGATGGACTTTGAAGTCCCCTTGTGCAATTGACGACGTCAATCAGGGAAGCACAAGGAAAACATGTTCCCTTGGCTTGACGAATTGCCAGAGCTTGAATTTTGCGGCTGAGTCTGTCGGAGCCTAGATGAGTCTTAGTCTCTGTGGCAGGTGACCTTTGATCCTCTTATTAAGAACGAACATGACTGCAGAAACCTGTCTTGAACTATGCACTGAAATATTCAGATTACAAATACCGTTTACATATATTTGACCAATCTAGGCATACAGGAAGGGCAAACCATCGATGATATATGGAATATGGACATCAGTTCTTACTACCACGAGTCAGTCCTATGGGTGATCCTGCTAGCAGTTGCCAAGCACTATGGCTTCTACTATCAGGTGGTCATTATTAGTCTTGCTATGACTCGGTCTTACTCAAGGATATTTTTGAAACAAGCACCTTCCGAGAGAACTTTGAGATCATGTTTGACCCGAAAATTTCATGTGCTCATGTTTTGGATCCTCGTTGCTTGGTGCTTATTACTTTCCCCTTTACATGTTTTCATATCGGTGCCTTCTTTACTAGCCGGCTTCTCACGAACCTTTGATAATGCCCCGCATCGGGGGTCCGATGTGGTCTACGACCCTGGAAATACCACGAGTGTGGAGTGTGTCTATTTCCTGTTAGCCTCGATGTAGGAGCCAACCTGACAACTGACATTTATTTTAGTGTGTATGCTATCCACGGCCTTGGCTCGGATCCAGCGTCGACATGGAATAATTCAAAAAATGGGACCAATGTCTGTTGGCTGAAGGACCTATTGCCCAAGGTCCCTGGTCTTACAAATATCAAGGTCACGATGGTTAACCATCAAAGCCATTGGAGTGAGGATGCTGCCAATATGCAATTTGAAGATCATGCACGGACACTATTGGATGAGATTGAGCGAGTAAGACATGATGAAGGGGCTGAATGTCGACCGATCGTATTTATCGCACATAGCTTTGGTGGTTTACTGTTGAAACAGGTACTTTTTCACGGTTTCCTTATTGATCCTGCACCCAGAACTTTCATCACTAATTCCAGAACAGTTACTGGTAGACGCAAAGAACCGGTCCAGTGAAGTCTCAACCAACACAAGAGCAATATTATTCCTCGGAGTCCCTCATATGGGTTCTCAGGCTTCTATTGTCGGACGTATAATATCCTGCACCGCCTATTGGCGTGGCTCATCATCGACCCTATTGGAATATGTGTCAACGGGCAGTTTGGCCACCAGTAGCCTTCAATCTTCTTTTTTCGATGCCTATATCAAGAGCCAACCAGACCCACCTTATATATGCGACTTCATGGAGACACGGTCTGAAAGGATAGGAAATCTCTTCTTGGGTCCAGTAGGTCTCCCTAGTGGAACAATAAAATAACTAAGGCATTAGGCTGACATGAGCTAGATTGTGCCTGGAAGTTCTAGTGATCCGCACCATGGCGAGGTAGCATATCTCGATGCTGACCATCGCGGACTGAACAAATTTGCATCCGCTGATGACCCCAACTTCACAAAATTCAAGGCGAGATTTACCAAGGCATTCTTAAAGGCATTGAAAAATGGTATGTGGCTTGAGACCCAATAAACAGTTGCTGGTTTATCTATGCTCGACCCTCCCTTCCGTGGCTCCTTTAGGAGAAAGACACTCTAAAATTACTACTATAAACCTAGGTAAGCTAATATGAAGAAAAGCCAAGGTTACTTCGATTCCTTTTAGTCGGGACGCAAGGTTCACCGGCCGCCAAGATATCTTACTTGAACTTGACCAAAAACTAAGGAGAAGCCAGTTTGCCTCTCTTGCGGGGATCGGTGGCGCTGGGTACATTCCCTTCAATACGTGCTGAGAGCCTTTGCTAACCCAGGTCTAGGAAAACTCATATTGCCGTAGAATACGCCTACCGATTTCAGGAGCGGCACCCGTGTGCTGATATCTTCTGGGTTCAAGCAGGCACAAAAGACATGATTGAGAAAGGGTACAAAGACATTGCAATGTCTTTAGATTTGCCAGCTGATAACCCTGAAGGGCTAAGTATCTTCTCGCGCGTGAGCTCTGCGCTTAATGATAGCAGAGAAGGGCATTGGCTTCTAGTTTTCGATGGTCTGAATGATCCAAACTTGCTCTATGACCCCAATGATGTTTCACCGGGTAGAACACCGGAAATCGATCAGTTAATTGCCAATATGCCGCACAGTGCCAAAGGCTACACTCTGCTTACCACACGAGATAGGAGAGTGGGTCACAGGCTCACGGGGATTGATGATACAATCTCTGTTTCACCAATGGGGCTGGAGGATGCAAGGGAACTTATGACAACTCTATTGCACGAAAAGCCTGGCTTGGATGACAATCGCACAATGGAACAAATTATACAAGCCCTGCAAGGCTTGCCATTTTATCTTTCCCAGGCGGCCGGCTATATTGCAACAAAAGAAGTTTCCCTTGAACACTATTTACACCTACTTAGCAATCCCACGGAGACAACGGAGTTGATCGACCAAAGCCACAATAATACCGACCTCCTCCCGAGGCCTGAAAACGCGGTAATCATGCCGTGGAAGATTACATACGATCTCATCAGACGAGAAAGTCCCAGAGCAGCGGATATATTATGTCTCATGGCCACTTTAGATGCTCAGTCTATACCTATTCAGCTGCTTCAGAGATGCGATGAAAGCCTTGTTGCGTTTGATAAAGAGACAGGTCTCTTGAAGTCATTCTTCTTGATTACATCAAACGCAAAAGGAGACAATCTAGGTATGCTTCGTTTACAACAGCTGTCCATTCAACATTGGCTGGAGCTACAGAATTCTCTCGATGAATGGAAGGAAAATGCAATGGATGAAATTCTTCGTTTGTGCGCCCATTTGACGGGCCGAAAGCAATACGAATGCTTGGAAACAGTGTACCCACATATTCAACTTCTGTTGGCATATGACTTCCGCACTCGCAATAGCAGGATTAAGGTTGGATATCTTCTCATCCTGAAATCGGAATATGACACGTCAAGAGGTCGATTCGCTCTTGCGAACGAGCAACTCTTGAGATCCGTTGGCATATGGAAAACGAGCTGCAGTGACCACAGTTACTATGCCATACGAGGCTTACAGCTTCAAGCAAGGGCTCTAGCGCACCAGAACCGACTGGATGAGGCAGAATATGCAATTAGAGCAGCATTTTGCGCGTTTGGTCAGGTATACGGGCCAGATGATAGCAACACCCTAAGCGCCCTGATGGACCTGGGAGGTGTACTCATACATAAGCAGTTGGATGAAGCGGAACATATATATTCCACAATATTCTACTTAACGTCGGGAAGAATGATTGAAAACCAGGCCTATGATCTAGAGGCCAAGCATAATCTCGGCATGATTGCGGAAACTCGAGGAAACCATTCCGAGGCGGAGCGTATTCTGCGAGAAACCCTCCACTCAAAGCAGCAAAGATACGGCCATACGAGCGAATTTACTCTTCGAACCATGAATTTGCTCGCTATTGTTCTACAGACTCAGGGCAAAAATCCGGAAGCAGAATCCTTGTTCCGACAAACGCTCCGCCTAAGAGAGGGAGTCCTTGGGATCACAGACAAAGACACAATGTACACCCTGAATCTACTGGTAAGGCTTCTCTGGATATCAAAGAAGTTTGATGAACTGGTAGATTTTGCATTTCAACATGCCGAGCGACAAAAAATGGTCCACGGAATCAGGAACAATGGCACATTGGACGCTTTTAATGATTTTGAGGGAGCGTTATTCCATCAAGGAAGATACAACGATGCTATCACTTCGATTGAAAAGACCATTCCAGTACGAGAAGACTTTCTAGGGCCAGATGATCCTGGTACACTGATGAGCAAAGTCAACTATGCCGTCTCACTGTGTGGGCAAGGGAGAAAGCGTGAGGGACTCAATATGTTCCAGGATGTTTTAGAAACACGCAAAAGGCTTTATGGATCGGAGGACCCCAGAACCCTCAAGACTCAAGAAAATGTTCAGATCGCCGCCAATGGTATTTGTAAGTTTCGGGATATTCTAACTCCTCCTGTGAGGGTGAGGACTACGTATCCGACCACAGATGCCGACCCAACCGTCATTATAGAATTCTGTCCGTCAGATTGACGGCAGTGTTTTACCTGTCGGATTGGCTTCTATGCAGGGATGTTTGCTGGGAGGAGAGGAGAAAGGTAAGGTGATATGTTTAATGATGCCATGATCGAACCTGACTCAAGTATCTAAAGGAAGCTCATATCGAGCAGCAAGCGTCTTGCAAACTTGTGCACTAATATTGTTGAAATGTTGACAAAAATGACACCGGAAAACTAGGTTAAAAAAAGTCAATTATACATTGAACCATTACTTCAAAAATAGGTCAAGTCAGCAGCGAGCGGCTCGGAGAAGTAATGTAGAAACTACCATATTATATGAAGATATCAGGTGAGGTTCAAGAAAGAAAGATAATAGTAGGCAATCCAATTATACAAATGTAGGTGAACCAGCAAAGGAATGAATCGACATATCGAAGACGAACAAAAATAGAGGAAAGACTGAAAAATAAGGGAAGGATTAAAGGATAAACACCCAATGAACCGGAACTTGTAAATTCTTTATACAGTAGTTCCCGAAACTGTTGTCAGACCGAGGCGGTAGTACCTACCTCTACTTTAATCACATTCCCATCTAGAGGGATGATGATTTGACAGAACTTATACTGGTATTTTGCCACCATTAGGTTCCCTGCGAATGAGCGGTTTGTAGATTACTCCCTGAGCAGCCCGGAGCGTGGGGTGAGCACTCGGTGCGTGTGCTAGGAGATCAGTCAGACTGCGCCGGAGCAAAAAAAAGAAAAACGTTCCTTCAGGACTTCATGGCGGAGGCGTTCCCCAAGCCTTTATGCGCATACTGGACATCCATCTTTTTAGTTAGTTAGAGTCATACATACCTGTCATTTTTACCATACCTTGCTGTACCCGAGATTTCTGTCAAATTACCCCCACAGTCTTGGAAATCAGAAGGCTAAGCTTATTATCTACGACATGCTATCGGATTATCGCTAAACAACAGGCTCGCCGATCTCAACCACAAACTCGGGTTCGGGAGTCGTCCGTTGACACAGGCGAGCTTGCGGGGCGATTATGTTGGACGCTAGGTTTGGCCCCCACAGGCATTTACGCGCCCGGGTTGCTGTATAATCTTGGCGAAGATCCATCTCGTGGCGGAGTCATTGGAAATCCATTAATTGCTGGTGCTAGACAATAATAATTACCCCTCGGTTTCCCGGTCTTCAAATCGTCAAATTTTCAATAATTCACTAAGCTTCTACCGAAACTCCTTCTCCTTTTAAAACATGGGTCTTATCAAGACTGGCCTTGCTTTGGGTGGTGGCTATAGCCTCATTAAAGCTGCATCCAAGTGCGTTCTTAAGTCTTCCACCCATGCTTGTCACTCTCATACTCATATATCCTACATTAGGGCCGCCACTGAACACGAGGAGCAGAAGCAGAAGCAGAGGGAAAGTCTCCAGCCTGCTTCCCAAAGGCTCCGACATGCTTCCCAGCAACAATACTATCTTAATAACAAGCGGCGAATGGGCTATAAGGATGGTAGCCAAATGAACAACCCTCATGTCCAACCATCGTACCCTCTACACGGGCCTCGCTCAAACCGTGACAGCAATGGGAACAAGTCTAAGCCACAAGCACAATCCCAGTCAACCCACCAGCCGTCAATGTGCTGTACAAATACAACGGCGATGGAGGATCCTCCGGCATACGATCCTTCACCGCAGGCACAATCCCAGTCGACCTACCAGCCGTCAATGTGCACAAGGGCCATGGAGAACCCTCCTCCATACGATCAGAGCCCCCCATACGAAATTTAGGCAGATGGTAAGGCTGGATCAGGTTGGGGAATCTTCAAAATCAAAATAGAAGGGTATGGCTTGGATTAAGTGTGGTAGCCGTTTACGAGGGGGCTTTGGATTCGGTTGGTTTACATTACATTGCAGGTTCTACTAGATCCACTAGATACCCCTGAGACCTTTAAATAGATTATAATTGAAATATTCTGAGCAAAATAGATTGATTTGATTTCATTGTATTCTGCTCTATTGTTTAGGATCGAAAATAGTTATTTGTCATGAGGTGATAACATGGTTGTATCGACGTAAGGAATGGTCATGGAAACACCGTCGATAAGGTCAAGCATCAACTAGAATTCAATAATCAAAACTCACATTTATGACCCGAATAGAACTATCAATCAGTCATACCTTGCTATACACCGTGATTTCTGTCAGTATACACCAAAGCGGTATGGGGCCGCTGTTGTAGAGGTATGTACATAAATCCCGGTTACATTATAATCTATGACAACATCCCCCACCTAATCCCCACCTTTAATATATGAATTCGGATATTGAGAAAGATGTGATTTGAACATAGAGGCTGGAGTAGATAGAATCCCTGCACTTGACGTAGCCTGGGGCTGGAATGACGTAATGGAGGTCGGGTTGCCGACGCTCCGGCTTGTAGGCCGGACAATCAATGCTGGGGAACAGGTTTTCTCCATTTTTCAGTGGATGTAATTGGATATCCGATCTTGCTTGCACAGAAGTACAGTACACAAATGTTAGTGATAGCGTCGAATGGCCATGGTCGCTATCTTGGTATATGGGGCCAGTGCGCCGCTCCTCGGCATGTTCATAAACAGCCTGATATCATCTGCTGCGCAATCTGCAAGTATATAACAGGCCATTTTTTTCATTCTCAGTTTCATATCCTCCACTTTTCTGTGCCATTGTGGGACCCATATATCCACACAATAGACCTTAATTAACGCAGCTTGCCACATGGCTGCCTCAATGGATTTAGATCTCGAGAAGCCAGAGGTATCAAGCTTCAAGGATGAAGCTAGCCTACAAGAAGATAGAATAAAAATAGAACGGGGTATCGACACCCACGCCGAACATGCCTCCAATTCCGATACGGCAAGCAACGAAGACAAACCAAAGCTACAAACCGGCGGCAAGCCCGAACTAACAGAAGACGACTGCTACAACAAGCTCGGCTTCTGCTTCCCAACATGGAAGAAATGGACTATACTTTCCGTCATATTTGTGGTTCAGATGTCCATGAACTTCAACACAGGCGTCTACGCCAACGCCGTCACCGGTCTAACTGAAGAATTCCACATCAGCGAACAAGCCGCACGAGTCGGACAGAGTGTATTCCTAGTTGCATACGCATTCGGATGTGAGCTCTGGGCACCATGGAGCGAAGAATTCGGCCGCTGGCCCATAATGCAGCTCTCGCTATTCCTCGTGAATATCTGGCAAATCCCATGCGCCCTCGCACCCAACTACGGCACGATTGTCGTGTGCCGTATCCTCGGCGGTCTCAGTTCCGCCGGAGGCTCAGTTACCCTCGGTATGACAGCCGATATGTGGGAAGCCGATGACCAAGGCTACGCGGTAGCCTTTGTTGTTCTCTCCTCGGTGGGCGGGTCAACCGTCGGGCCCTTCTTCGGTGGAATGATCGGGGAGTGGCTAACATGGCACTGGGTATTCTGGATCCAATTAATTGTCGGAGCGGTAACCCAGATACTGCACTTTTTCATCGTACCGGAAACCCGCACGACAATCCTAATCGATCGCGAAGCCAAACGCCGCCGCAAGAATGGAGAGGATATATGGGGTCCGAACGAACTCAAAACCCCTCGTCTAGACTACCACGATGTCCTACGAATCTGGATCCGGCCGTTCGAGATGTTCATTCGCGAACCAATCGTCCTCTTCCTCTCCCTCCTCTCCGGTTTCTCGGACGCCCTAATCTTCGTCTTCACCGAGTCCTTCACACTAGTCTTCAAACAATGGTCCTTCAGCGTTCTAGCGGTCGGTATGACCTTTGCCTCAATCCTCATCGGATACGTAATAGCATACATAATCTTCCTACCGGACATCCACAGACAAATCCAAACACGACGTAAATATGGCGCCGCAAGCCGTCTTGCCGAGCGTCGTCTCCTCCTCCTCCTTTTCATCGCACCACTCGAACCAATCGGTCTTCTCGGTTTTGCATGGACATCAACCGGTCCGCCAATCCCTTGGATAGCGCCATGCATCTTCGCCTGTCTAATCGCAATGGCGAACTACGCAATCTACATGGCGACTATAGACTACATGGTTGCGGCGTACGGACCGTATTCTGCGTCTGCGACGGGTGGTAACGGCTTTGCGAGAGACTTCCTTGCTGGTATTGCGACGATGTATGCCACGCCCATGTACCAGAACATGGGGAGCAAGTATCATCTCCAGTGGGCGAGTACGCTGCTGGGATGTGTGGGGTTCTTGGTTTTGATTCCGATTTATGTCTTCTACTGGAAGGGTCCGGAGATTCGGGCAAAGAGTAAATTTGCGCAGCAGCTTGCTGCTGATCGGGATAGACATACAGAGAGTAGGAGAGGTAGTCGGGCGAGGGCTTCGATTGGAGAGTAGCTGCTGTGCCTAGGGCTAATGTACTATGTTCAGTTTTTGCTTGTATTTCTAATTAGTAGATGAGTACCCTGGGTAGAGAGGTATGAATAATTTATGATAATCACATTATTTCTTATATCGTGGCAGGAAATTAGAAGCAAAAGCAAGCTATTAGGGAGTATATAGACGTATTGTATGTAATACCCGACTAACTCTCCTACTGAAAAAGCTAGCATGCGAGCCACAATCAAGAGAGGGAAAGCGGGTGCGAGTTGAGAATGATTTTAAACAATGTTATTCCTAACGCCATTCCTCCCTCTTGATGCAACTCATATTCTGTGTGTCTGATGTCTTTCTTTCTTTCTTTTTTCTTCCCCCATTAACGATGATCTTGATTTGGCACCCATTTAAGGGCATTTCAGGGCACTTGTTTATTGGATTTTCCTACGTTTCGGCTTGATAAAAGGCTTAAGGAACTCAATTCAAAAAAGCCTAGAGCCACAGTTCTGTTTTGTAGGCAGAATTGTCATATCCTTCCTCTAATGTTGGATATATTGTTCCTCAAACACAAGATCGCACTATTTATAGTGAGACATTAAACAAAAATCGTTAGCCACGTTTGGCCTATCCATTGGCATGAACAATTTGGCCAGCATGAATTGGCAGCATTCCATCCAGTGGGCCCATAACCGTTGCATCATCATCTTCACTACCACAACCACCACCACCATCACCATCACTATCCTCACTCCACGACATCTTGACTACAGGGCTCATGGCCTCAAAGATCTCGGGCCCTTGTCGCTCCGCAGTCAGTTCAATTGCCTTCATACGCCCGTAATGGATGACGCGCGCTTTTTCATTTCCACCATCTAGATCCCTCCGCCCAACACGCAGTAGATACCACTGCCGGTGTCCAGACTCTAAAGTGGCATACATCAGGGAGTTGGCTCGCAGAATCTCCATCAAAGCTACAGCCTTTGGTTGGGATCGGCCACTCTGCGCTTCAACTGGGATGGGCATCGGGTATGTGTCAATCGCAGCATTCTGACTGGAGCAGATCGTCACCTCTGGCAAGTCTTTAGAAGCGAGCTGCTCTGAGGAGTGCTTCGGTAGACACTCCGGATGTAGGAATCTTGCAAGCGTACAGGGAATAGCAAGGGCGGTAGTCAAAAATGTAGCGAGATCGGGTGATTGGTAGACTTGAACATGCTGAGAGGCGTTGCTGCAGGAGGGATGGCTGACCTCTCTGATGACGGTGGTCCAATCTTGATAGCTTTCCACTGTTTTAGAGGAGTTCCTGTCACCCGGGTGCACCAGTGGGACCTCCATAGTGCCTCGAGATTCAGGATGGCTCTGCTGCAGCGAGCGGTGGGCGCTGATTCGCAAAACTCCGTTTTCGGGGTCAATCTCAGGCTCGATAAGTAACAAGCGTGGAGCCTGCTTCTTATCGACGATTGATACAGTTTGCAGGTTGACTATACACCATTGGCGGTCCCACTGCAGGCCAGTGGAGTTGACCTGCCAGGATTTGTTCTCTGGCACGGTGTATGCAGCACCACCCTTGATCGGGTAAACCATCAGGGTATGCACTCGAAGGCTCTGGGGTGATGGAAGTGGCGGTGATGTCAGCAGAGGAAGAGGGCCGGTCGTAAAGAGGTTGTGGATAAACCCCACGAAGATCTCCACATCACTCATTGTACTCATGGCGCCCAGACTGACTCTGATGATGCCCGGAGGCTTATGTCCAATTAGTACGCTCCGACATCCGCATCGAACACCGGCCATGTAGTTCTGGAACAACTCCCACTGCTCTAGCTTTAGGATCTTTGCTACACCCCCCGGGTTGCAGACGGCACCCGTGCGAAGATGGATGCGGTGCTCATTGGCAGCCTTCTCAACATGGGAAAGGCTTAACCACCGACCTTCATCAGAGCGGATGTTGAAGGCGATGATGCCTCCTTGAGTCTTACTGTCATCGTATGTGGCAGAGTGATCTTTGTAAATCTCGCACACTTTCACGCCGTTCGAGTGGCACATAGAAGAAAGGAGCTTGTAGAGGCTTACAGTGAGGTGAGTCACATGGCGAGACACGTGTTCCTGGGATATATACAGCTTCTCGTGTGTGGTAATAGCACACCCGAGAGCTATGATATTATGAAATGGTACGGTGCCATCCTCGAGCGCCTCATGGATGCAGGCTACCTTTCGAGAATGCCATGGTGGGCCGGAGCAGGTGACCATTTCCACAGTGCCGCCGCCGAAGTAGGGACGCTGCAGTAGTACATGTGCAGATTTCCTACGCACGATCAACCCTCCTAGATCAGGGAAACCGAAGATCTTGTAGAAGCTGACGGCTGTGAAATCGGGGGCTCTATCCGGGTCCCGGAAGCAGTCCAGTGACACGGTTGAGGCTAAAGCTGCAGCATCCAAAAGGCTGAACACTCGCTGGTGGGAGGTATATTCTGATTGACGTATGACTTCTGGCCAGTGAAGAGGCAGCCGTCGTCCAGTTAGATTTGTCTGCCCTGGATACGAAAATAGGCCCACTTGGAAGGTTTCCGAACTTTGCCCTGGAAATTGACCCGTCTTGTCCTTGGAAGGCGTGGATCTGAGCCAGGACTCAACTTCATCATCTGAGACGAAGCAATGTTGTCCTGCATCGGCCATTTCGCGCATACCCACAATGCTTGTATGGGACTCAATATGATATCCGAGCCAGAATCCCGGGAATTGGGGGGGCTTCTCCAGGTCCCGGGACACGGGTACGTCCTTTAATGCCTCAAAGACGAGTTTAACTGCCGCGGTGGCATTCATAACAAAAACTAAATCGAAATGCTCCGGGTCGGCGTTGAAGAACTCCAATGTCCGCCTTCGAACCTCTTCGACCTTCTTTGTTGAGACTTGCGATGACCGTGACTCGGAGTGCGGGTTTCCAAGGAGGCTGGTGGACATTTCCTGGGTGAAGCTTTTGAGAGCCGACTGTGCATAGAGAGTTGTACCGGTATGATCGAGATATGTTTCCCCTGGACAAGTTAGTTAAGAGTGTTCTCGCTTTGGCTAAATATATTTCTATTTGTTCACCTTTGAGCATAGGGTATTCAGTCTCCCGCAAAGTTTCAGCGCTATAGACATCGTGTCCAGCATCGCGATCCATGACTGTGTCTGAGCTGAAAGGTTTGATCAGGTATGGGTGAACGGAAGTACAACGGTAGTGTCTATAAAAAGTACTGTTCAACCGAGGTAGCGATTATTGAATGAGATTGGCAATATAAGCTTGATTTGACAAGTGCACGCTCCTTTATTTGCTTCCTGTAGACCATACTACTTACCGTGGCGAGATGGCCCCCGGATGTTCCCCCAGAACACCTTGCATACTCGGGCAGATGGAGCCAATCCTTGGCGCTCTGGTATCATCGAGCTGAAGGTAATAGTGTGTGCAGTTTGCCACAAATGCTCTGAATTTGGCCGGTTGCAGAGACATGGACAACAGTTCAGTGTTAACATAGTTGCACAATATTCTCTCATCGTCACAGGCGCCTGGTAACTATCACAAATAGGCACAACGTGAGGACGTGTCATACAAATATGACCACGATTGATGCACATTGACGACATTTAAACCAGCTTGGGTGGTGTATGGGACCACTATTGATGCACATCGACAAGATTAGAATCCTACTCAGGAACGTATGAGGGTTCGTAGGATTAACGATGGCTATCATCCGGGATCAGACGAGAAGGCTGTTCATTCGCTTTGATGGTATTTGTGAATAATTTGATATAATTTGAGCTGAGATCACCTGCAATAAATATGGAATTCTTTTGAATATAAATTGACCTACTTAGCCCACCATCCAACAGTAGAAAGACCCAAAGCGACAAGAACTTCACACCAGAACACTCTTTCCTATTCCTTTCACAAACATATATATCCATCCTCCAATATGGCTGATTCGGGAAAGCCTCTCAACCAGGAGGAGGTCTTGCGCCTCCTGAGACATTTCAGTGGTAAGGGTCCTCCAGCCAATGACCGGTGGGCCACCCTATGGGATGCGGGCGACTTCCTCCCTTGGGATCAGGGAGTTCCTAATCCAGCCCTCGTGCATGTCATGCAAGATCATCAGGATCTTATTGGTGCCTCTGTTTTTATTCAAGACAACGAAAAGCAGGAGCGCCGGCGGAAGCGGGCGTTGGTGCCAGGCTGTGGGCGTGGATATGACGTTCTCCTCTTGTCCAGCCTAGGTTACGACGCCTATGGCCTTGAAGTGTCAGCTAAGGCAGTTGAAGAAGCCAATACTTGGGCTGAGGAGCATCTGAGCGACTATCCGGTTCAAGATCAAGCAATAGGACCCGGGAAGGCGCAGTTCATTGTAGGCGACTTTTTTAGTGACGAGTGGACTGCGTGCATGGGCCCGCTTGTAAAATTCGAGTTCATATATGACTACACTGTGAGTGGTTCCCTTGTCTGGATCATCTGTCCACCTTCACGGCATGGTACAACACATATTGGGCATAGGGCTTTTTGCGTGAAATTCGCAATCGGCAAGCTTGATGACGTGCTAAGGGGACATAACTTTGTTATGACCTCTCAGTTGGTATGTGACTGACATTGCAAGAGCAGTTCTTCTGTGCCCTTACCCCTGACCTCCGTCCCTCCTGGGCTCGCCGATACTGGGATCTTCTTTCCATACACCAGGAAAGTGTCATCGTCTGCGTCGAATTCCCAACACAGAAAAAGCTGTCCCTTGGTGGGCCGCCTTACGCCTCGCCCTCGTCCGTTTATTTGGCGCACTTGAGTCACCCTGGACAGGAAATTCAGTACGATATCGAAGGAGCGCCGATCAATATTGAGGGGCACCTCGAACATGCGAACGGATTTCAAAGAGTCGGCCATTGGAAAGCTGAGCAGTCGCATGCGATGGGGAAAGGAATGGATTGGGTGAGTGTGTGGAGACGGCCGATTTGAGGGTAAGTGACATCCGGGGCCAGAGGACCGGGACCTCGGGAAGGATCAACCTTCAAAGTTTGGGGTAAATAGTCTAACAATCAAATAACGCACTGTTCCGGTCTCTAACTTGGCAAACCCAGGTTCATACCTCCTTTCTACATTTGTCTTCCACGTGGATTTGAAGCCATCATTATGAAAACCTGATCCCATTGTAGTCCGATCTGATACTACGTCTTTTCCATTGCCATCATCTTTCCGTTGTATCTGGTACTTTCGTGATTGAACTTGTCAACACCTCGTATCATGATGCATTATCAGTAAGGTCAAAAGTAAAGCCAAAGTTGCGGGTAGAAAGGCAGCTGTTTCTGGCCTCAACGGTGGTCATCTTAGGCGTCGATCCCACAGGTCCTTGAATTCTAGTTGTAATTTATACAAGAATAGTCGGCCGCGTTTGCGGCCTTGTGATGTCTTTTTAGATGTATGTGAAGGCGGTAACAGCATACTTTGTGCAATAGACTTTTCTTTGTATAAACAGACCATGCAATCCTTACAGGACCTCGATTCCAATCAGGTCCCTACAGCAAATTTTGAAAGTGTACTCCTCAATCACAAAGATGCGATGTTATTGATAGATGAATGCTTACATCTTAGCCCAAAACAGCGCAATGGCAAAACATGTATAAAGGTATCCCAAGAACGCCACAAGTGCCAGCTTCCCTCGTTTCCACAATGCTCCAACTCACCTCTCCACTCCGAAAAGCATCTACCTCATGCTAGAATAGATCATCCGATGCAACGAGACGTTTTGTAAATACCAAATTTTACCTTGTCTCCAATTAGATATCAACATCTAGCTCGAATGTAGCTTCTTGACGCGCATAGCGCCCTCATATAGACCGCGGTCCAAAGCAGCAGCGACAGTCAGAGTACCACCAATGATAGCACATATACCCGTAAGGAAGTTGGTAAAAGTCTTCGGCCGAGCCTCACGGTTGACAACCTTCATAGGAGAGATGTCGTAGTTGAAGAAGACGCCTGGAATACCGCCACCTGCATGAACGCGCTCCTTGTGGCCCTCTGCAGCATCATTTCCACCGGAAAGAGGACGCTTGTGCGAGGTCACAGAGTACTGATGAGCCTCGATACTACCCTGGGTACCGTAGGCGAGGCCGTGAGAGCCAAGAGGCGCCTTGTCGTAGGCATTGTGGATGGAGGTCGAGAACTGAGGATCCCAACCCAGGGGCAAGTACGATGTCGAGACAACTTTGACAAAGTACATGAAGTTGTAGGCGGGCTCGTCGGTCTCCTGCTTGGTATCGTCAAGCGGGTTGGTGTGGTGGTGGTCGGTCCACCCCCAACGGCCTGCAAGCTCGGTGGGGAGCTGAGGTCCGAAGCGAAGCTCGTGGACCAAGTGGGACATCGTGTGCTGCTCAGCAGGGCCCGCGTTAGGGACGATATAGGATTCTAGATCGTGGACGTGCATATTGCCAGTGGTGAAACTGCGGCCTGGTGCAATGTGGAAGTTGCCCACGACCTTGTTGACCTTTAGTACACCCTCGATCCGGCACCCTTCGCGGCGCTGCTCGGCGAGTTTCTCGGCATATCCTTCACGTTTACACTGCTCGATGTTGCTGCCGTCGCCGAAGGCCCATTGCTTCTCGGCGTAGGCTTCGCGCACTTCCTCGCAAGTCGTACAGCATCCCGGTTTGACAGCAGAGGGGGGAGGCGTTGCTCCACCGCATTCGCCACAGTAGTCGGGAGCCAAGTGCTTCGCAGCTTCTGATGGGGAGTGCCTGGAAAGGGACGATAATGAGATCGTGGTCATGATGTGAAGGATTTTGGGTGGAAGAATTGGCACTTACAGGTCCAAAGCCTGGACATCGATCACCTGGCCGCCTTCGTTGTATGGGCTCAGGCGGACTTTATTCACGCCGTGGGCCACGCCGACCTGCTGCTCACCAGAGACATCCATCACGTCCAAGGTCAAGAGTTCACACGGCAGCCGAGGGAAGGTCATGTTCAGATGAATCTCCATTCGCTCTCCTGCGCAGTAAAATTGAGTCGTTAGCGACCTTGCCTTATGCAGTTCATCTTCTGCAGGTCCATCGTGGGTCCGATCGAGCCTAAACTCTATTCATACCTCGCGATTTATCGACGACAAGCTCGGGCAGCACGACAACTCGTCTGTAGTCTGCCCATTCACCCCATACCAGCCACATAACAATCAATAGCGAAGCGATTGTAATGACACCTCCGGAATTTGTGCGAATGCGAGCATCCTCAACGGTCTTGGCGAAGGCGTCTAGCCTTGTGAATCGCGACTTTGCGGACATCTCGCCGGTCAATTGACGACCATAGGGTGAAGCGCAAAGGCCAGGCGAGGGTTCGTGGACAGCGGCAGGATATTAAATGCCTATATGACAGAGAGAACACGAATATGTCAGCTAGGTGGTCATTGGACGCGCAAGCTCTATTGAATGACGGAGACCCCATTCAAATAAACAGACCAAACAAACACAATGGAGTAAAGCAAACAGGGAAGGCACCCATACCAACAATAGAGTCCGAGTGAGTCAATTCAAACTCAATGCGACTGAGTCTTCCAGGCACCTGACAAGAGAGACAAGAGCAAGGCCAATTTGAAGCCTCCGCCAGGCATACTTGCAGGGCCGATGTATGAGGAGCACCCGTGAGGACAGACGACAGCATATGATTGGCCGACCTGAAACAAAGGGATGAGTCATCACCTAATCGGGACTAGTTGCAGAACAATGCCGCCTCATCACGTGCCAATCGTCACTTTTTCTTTGAACTCACTTTGGTTATTCACGGACCTATTGTTCTTTGGTCATTCACTGTCACTTTATTATTGTCTTGCAGCTGCCTACATAATCTGCAGCACCCCCCTCTTCTCCAGTCTTTTCAATTTGCTCTTTCTTTACCTCCCACCCTCCCCAGTCACAATTCCATTGCGATTTCCTCATATGCGATCAACTTCTTTCTGCCTGATCTGAGGCGCAGAGCGCGCTGCTCGCTTCACTTTAGCAGTTCCAGCTTTCTTTCAACTTAGCTCCCTTTACAAGAACCTCCGATACCCCACCCACCTCTCAAATTTCTCCTCCAACCACCATGAAGAGCATGAAGCCTCGGCGCGGCGGCAATGACCGCGGGGGAATCCGCAAGCGGGGCCCTACTCGAACCGACCG